TCCGACAGGACCCCTCAAGAAGGCCCCCAATGAAACACACCGTTGGCATATATATATATATATATGTATATATGTATTTGTGTATATATAGGTCTATACGTATGTACGTATGTATGCATGTGTATATACACACATATATATGTGCATGTACGTATGTATGTGTGTATGTATGCATGCATGTATGTATGCATGGTTGTATGTTTGTATGTGTGTTTGTTTGTATGTTAGTATGTCAGTAAGTAAGTAAGACAGAATGTATGTCTGTATGTATGTATGTATGTATGTATGTATGTATGTATGTATGTATGTATGTATGTTTGCTCTGTATAAGCAGCCTCCAAGACTGCCGAAGACGGCCCCCAAGACGGCCTACGAGGTCCCCTAGGAGGGCCCGAGACGGCGCCAGTTGCGCACAGGACCGCCACAGGCGCTCAAAAGAGGGCCCCAGGAGGGGCCCAAGACGTCTCTGGAAGGCCCCTACACGCAGTCGCCCCAAGAGGACACCGGAGAGGCCTCCAAGAGACCGACACCGCTGCCTGGCCTCGCCTCCGTGTGTCGGAGAGCTCTCGGGCCGGCCGCCGCGTGAGGGGTCCTCTCTTTGTTTCTTCTCTTCTTCTATGCTTCTCTTGCTTCCTGGCCTCCAGTCTGTCGTCGTTCTGCCCTGAAGTTTTCTGCGGGAAGCTGCCGCTTTTCCCTCCTCGTCTTCTGCCCCGTCCCCCTCTAGCGTCTGGGACTGCCCCAGGAGTGGCCCGAGGAGGGCCTCCTGGAGCGCTCTTTCTCAAGACGGCCCGCGGGACCCCCAACAGGTCCTGACGAGGGCCCCCAACATGAGGGGGCCATGGGGCACACAAGTAAATACACACAATTAAAAGGATTCCCCATATCTTCCCAGATTTTTCGTGGGTTTTTGCCTTCCCCCCACTGCCCATATTTTCCTATATTTTCGAAGGAATCGACGATTACTTGTGTCTGTGTGTTTTTTCCCCTCCTGACAACAGCAGGCCTCCAATACTTTCCCAAGAGGTTCCCGGAGGCCGACAGAAGCCCCCAAAGGTCACCAAGCTATCCACAGATGCCCCCATAACTTCCCCGAGAAGCTTCCGCCCCCAAACTTCCCCGAGCCCGAGGTCGCCCCCTGGGGCTGTCTGGGAGCTCTCTTGAGGGCGAGGGGACAGCAGCGGTTTGGGTGTAGTGGTGTCAACCACTGCTTACACGCATGTCTGCTTGTGTGTTGTTGCGCACTTCTCGCCCCACACCGAGCACCCATTCGCGCCTTCGGCGACGAGCGCGCTCGCTTCCAAACCCACGTATCCTTCTCTTTCGGGCATGGCCTTTCGTCCCGCTTGGCGCCAGACTCCACGGCAGGTAGAACTCAAGCGCGCGCGGAGCGCGCGCGATGGATCTGGTGTACATAGAAGCTGTTCTCTTGGCATCGCTCGGACGTGTGCATTTTTTCTCGGCGAGGACCATCGAGGAGCATTTTGGGCCATCTTGCGAAACATGCACGCACGGAACCCAAAAAACGCACGGGGAATGGACGTCCGAGCGATGGCGAGTAACCACGTAGCTATCAAGCACGTGCCTACCATGTCAGATCAGAAGTGCAAAGCATTCAACAGAGCAGGTGCAGCAGTACAGCAATCGCAAGTGTTGGTCTCTTTTTCACTCAGTCGTTAGGTCTGCATTCGTTCATTGGCCAGGCGGTCGACCATGACCATCCCGCCACGACGAGAGGGCGTCCTAGCGTGCACGCATGCTCGCCGTCGATCGGCCCTTCGTTCTTCCCGTCCTCCAGGAGACATGGCTTAAGTTGGCATGCGTTAGTTTGTTGAGTGTTGAATGCTGCACTGCATTGAATGAAGGCCTGCGGCGCTCGGCAACTTAGCTTGCCACTGACCCTAACAGTGGAGCTGTAGGCGCGCGGCCTGCCATGCAGTGCTGGTTTCTGAACGAGGACACTGGCCTTCAACAAAAGTGGCCTCATCATCGTGTTCGATGTGTATTGCAGCCCGTGCGTTGAAGGTGGGTGTTCTGGGATTCCTATCAGTGCTACTCTAGTTCAATCATTCGATGGCTTCCAATCCGCCTAAAGCTTGGGCGACCGGCACCCAATCTACTCTCATCGGCTTCTTTCTGCATGCTTCTACTTGCTTCTTCCGAACGGCCTGCACGCGCAACATTACTCCCAACACCCGCAGAGTCCAGGGGAGTTCGAGTCTGGTCATTCTTGTCGTTTTGTCCTTGCCATTGTTTCCTCTTTGTCCGAGCCATTGCAGCATGGTTCAAGCAAATGTGAGATTGGTCGAGATTCTAATAGCCGCTGCTGAATCCCTCAGGTTGTGTTCGTCGCTCGTCATGGTGGCTACAGGCATGGTTTCGTGGCGCTCCGCCGTTGGTTGGTCGTGTTTCCTTGCCTCGGTGATGGCGGACTCGAGCTCTCTGGGGCCCCCTTTTCGCGGCTAACCGAGGGGTCCGTTTCTCTCCGCGGGTCGCCGTGCTCCCGATGGCTTCCAGGTGTCCAGCAGGCGCAAACAGTGGAGCAACCAAGCTGACCGTCGTGACTTTGCTTTGTCGTGACGTCTGGAGATCGGGGCTTCATCAGAGGCCCCCGGAGACCTCCAGAGGCCCGAGGAGGCTCAGGAAGCGCCGGGGACGGCCCGAGCTGACGCCCAACCAGTGCTCCAGCCTCGATTCTCGAGCCCTCCGCCCCCCGCCGAGGTCTCCTCGAACCCTCCCCTGTGAGCCGCCGCTGCCTCCTCGAGCTCTTGATCCACCTGAGCCCCGAGCACCTCCTCCTCCTACTCCTCCTCCTCCCTCCTCCTCCTCCTCCTCCTCCTCCTCCTCCTCCTCCTCCTCCTCCTCCTCCTCCTCCTCCTCCTCCTCCTCCTCCTCCTCCTCCTCCTCCTCCCCCCCCTCATCCTGCGAGGCCTTCCCCCCGCTGGCGGAGCAAGGCCGCGCCTCTGGCGCCACGATGGCGCGGCCCCTCGGAGCGGCTCTGGACCCGGGCCGCCCCCCGCCGCCGCCGCCGCGGCCACCCGCGCCGTGCTGCTCCCGGAGGGGGTCGGGTAGGGTATGGAGGTGAGGTTAAGTCGGGCATGCTCCTCTGCAGGAGGAATATTCAAAGACAGTCAAAGAATAGTCAGAGGACGAATTTCTCTTTCAATGCATACACACATATATGTATACATATATATATATATATATATATATATATATATTTATACACAGGCGACCCGGACTAGTAGGTCGACCCTGCCAGATCAAGGGTATCCTCGTGTCCTGTGTCTTGCGACCCGTGCCTCCTGCATTCCTGTTGCAACGTGGCCCTCGGATGTGTCTTGTGTCCTCTCGCGTATCCTCTCCAATCGAGTCCGACAGTATATACATATATATATATATATATATGTATATATATATAGTAGTTTAAAGATTTTAAAACATGTTTGTATTATTTTACATGTTTCTTCCAAAGTCCGCCTGTAGGAGGACATGCCCGACCTGATAGTGAGGCCGCCCGCGGGGCCGCGAAGGCAGTTGCGGTGGGCGCCTCGCGTCGCGGCCTGGGCTGGGGAGCTGCGCGTCCCCAGGGGGGGGGCGCGAGGAGGACGGGCTCGCGCCGCGCGTCGCGGAGCGCGATATGCGCGAAGTCCTGGGGAATGAGCACGGTCAACCCGCGTAGTAGGTAGGGGGCCGCATGCGAACCCGACCCCTACCCCCCACGATTTCTGAGGGGGAGGGTGGGGTTCACTTCGCGGGGGTAGGGGTGAACCCCACCGACAGTGAACCCCACCCTCCCCCTCCGAAATCGTGGGGGGTAGGGGTCGGGTTCGCATGGGCCCCCCCAGGGGTACCATTGCATCCGTGCCTCCTTGGGCCACCCTCGGCCACTCTCGCTGGCCGCGCCCCGCCCGAGAGGCTTCGAGGCGGCCCTCCAAGGCCCCTGCATCCTCATCGTGTGCCCTTAGGATAGATACGGGTCGACGGTTGTGACGAGGTCCGCCCGATTTCCCTGCCCATGTTCGACTGGGCTTGCTGTCGGTGCTGCCGCGGGCGTTGTCCACTCGAGGTGCAGAGTCGTTTGCCCAACAGCGGCCAGGGGGGGGGGGGGGGGGGGGGCGAACAGTGGCGCGCTCCGCCACTGGGGAGGGCGTGTCAATCGCCGAACCAAGAAGGCTGCACGGACCTTCGAAAGCTGAAGTGTGTTTTCTTCTTTCTCTTTCAGACCACGACTCCTGTCCCACCACGGGGCCTGCTGCACTTCGAGACCCAGGGCATGCGCAAATATTTGCGACTAGCATGCGCAACAGATGAGGCCTCGATGCTACCAGAGCGGCAAGCAAGAGCACGCTCGATGAGCGACGAAACCAGGCGCCCCCCCGCCGCTGGGCGCTGGGCGGATCCCTCTATATTTGTGGAGGACGATCAATCGAGAGGAAGCATGCTGCCAACTAATTTACAGATGGCACACAGATGTTTCAAACATGTTTCAAATATGTAAGGAGCATGTTTTAAACCTTTTAGAACATGTTTGCACATGTTCAACACATCTTTAGTTCAATCATGGGATTGTTAGAGTGTCCATTGTCGTGGCATCCACAACTCTCTATACATTGGCGCCTCCGGCGCTGTGAAACGTGGCGCCGTGCAGCTGCTTCCCCTGACCCCTTCCTTCCCTACGCCCTCAGCACGTCCGCCCCGAGAGAAGGGCCCTGCAACGAAGAGGCACAATCCGCGAGCACAGCCTCCTGAGGCCCGTGCGGTGTCTTTGGGGTCGGCGCTGGCACCCCTCGGCGGCGCCTCCAATGCCGCCCTCGGTGCGCTCCGCGCGCTGGGAGTGGGGGCCCAGGGCCAGCATACGACATGCGCGCGGATCCCTGGAAGCTCACGCGGTCACGTGCCAGTTCCACAATGCGGCGTGCCTAAGGGATTCTTACGTGGTTCAAGGTTGGCGCCTCGGGGGGCCACAGTCAACGCGCATAGTAAGGACGCGCTCCTTTTCTAGGGTACCCCTGCGTCCTTGCTTCTGCGGCCCGTCCTTTGCCGTTTCCATTGGGGTTTTGGTCGCCCGCCGCCCAACATATCCCGATTTCTGCCTTCCGTAGCCATTTTGGCTCAAGCCATTTTGGCTCAAACCGTTTCAGAGTACGCAGCACCTCCTGTGGTCGGCAACCTGCACCTTCCTGCCGGTCTTGAGCAGCGGCTATGATTGCCGCAGTTGCCATCGCGCTCGCGGGGTCGCTGCCGACAGCGTACGCTCAGCCCGGGTGCGGCGCATGGGAGTTCCATTTGGCGGGGATCCCGATCGATAAGTCGGAGTACCCCACCGCGTGCAAGGCCAACCCGTTCTGCCCCCAAAACGACGGCGACTGCTGCCCGACCCCTGGGAAGGACGGCCTGATGCTGGACTGTTGCAACCTGTACGCGTGCGAGGGCTTGCTGCACAATGCAAGGCGGAGAACAAGACTGGGAACGTCTGCCCGAACAAAAAAGGGGTCTACGACCCGTGCTGCAGCGGCATGGCCTTTGCCGCCAACAACCCGACATGCGTGAAGGCCGGGAAGAGTGGCATGATCTGCCCCGACAAGGACGGCGAATACGACGACTGTTGCAAGCCGCAGTGCAGCTACAAAGGGCAGTGCCCCGGCTTGGCTGGCTTCTGCTGTCCCACGGCGGCGGGCGTCATGCTCGGGTGCTGCGGGGCGTCGGTCGCGGAGGCGGAGCTCTCTGCCGCGATGCAGTCCACAGAGGTCGACGTGCCCGCCTCTCCCACGAGCGTGCTCGCGGCGCTCGTGGCGATGGGCTGCTTCGTCGCCGTGGGGGCAGTGGCCATCGGGAGGGCCACCCGCCGCCCGGCGTCGACGAATCTCTCGCCGCCGCTGCTGGCGTGAGGGCCCAGAGGGCACGGGTCTGCCAGTCGGCTTCGCGGGGCTGCGCCCAGCACAGCATTTGGGCACCCATGTTTGAAAGCAGCGCCTGCATCGATTGCATACTTTTTTGCGCAAGTTGCCCTTCCCCTTGCGAAAAGAAAAAACATATCCCGATTTCTGCCTCCAAGGGTCTTGCGTCCTTACCGCCCGTCCTTAATATACGTTTTCATCGTACTTTGCCTGTTCCTGTGAGGTTCCCTGGGGTCCTCTGGTTCCCTGGGTTTCTCGGATTTCCCAGATTCCTCGGGCTTCCTAGGTTCCCTGGGTTCCCTGGGTTCCCCGCCCCGGGTACCTCGTATTCTTATTGTGCCCCAAGCAATGCCAAGCAAGGCCAATCAATGCCAAGCAATGCCAAGCGTGCCAAGCAATGTCAGGCCATTGCAAGCCGTGCCGAGCCATGCCAAGCCATGCCAAGCCTTGCCAGGCATTGCCAAGCAATATCATGCAATGCCAAGCAATGCCAAGCACTGCGCCCATGCAATAATTAGGAAGTTCTCCCCTAATTGGAGTCACACCGGGTTTATTATTTGTTGTTCGACGCGTGGAACCGGTTCTTGCTTGGTTTTCGCCGATTTTGGAACTCCAGGGCGGCTCGGGGACAATCTTGGGTGCTCCAAGGGAGTGCGGAATGTTTTTGGAAGCCATTTTGGGGCAGGAATGATGTGGAACAGATACAATCGGCTACTTCACCTGCGCCAGCGTTTGGGGGGCATTCGAAGGGTCGCCCGTGAGCAGTCTGGGGGTGCCTGAGGGGAGTCTTCGAGCTGTCTTGTGAGGTCCGTGGATCATCCCGATGAGTTCTTCGTGGATCCTGAGGCCTTTCTAGGCCATCTTGGGGCCATCTTGAGCAACCTGGAACTCCTACGGCGTCGAGCCGCAAGAGAACCGTGGAGGGAGGAGAAAGAAGAGGAGGAGGCGGAGGAGGAGGAGGAGGAGGAGGAGGAGGAGGAGGAGGAGGAGGCGGAGGAAGAGGAGGAGGAGGAGGAGGAGGAGGAGGAGGAGGAGGAGGAGGGCTTTGATCGCCCTGCTCCATAGCTTCGGCCAGGGGGCGCTCGGCGGCCTGTCGTCACGACGGCTGGCTCTGGCCAGTCCTCGCCACACTGCACGCTTGGGCTTGGCACGGGTTGCGGCAACTGCGTCCAGGCGCGGCGGCGCCCCCAGCGTGGGCGTTCGGGCTCCTCCTCCTCCCCATCCTCCTCCTCATCCTCCTCCTCCTTCTCCCCCTTCTCCTCCTCCCTCCTCCTCCTCCTCCTCCTCCTCCTCCCTCTCCCCCTCCCCCTCCTCCCCCTCCCTCTCCCCCTCCTCCCCCTCCCCCTCCCCTCCTCCTCGCCGCTGTTGGCCTGGAACTGGCCGACATCCAGCAATCTAGACTCTTTCTTTCGGTCGCACGCAAGAGTGACCCTTCGCCGGAGTGAGTGACCTTCGGTGTGGGCCCCCCATCGAAGAATGCAATGCGGTCGTAGCGTCTTGCGCGCGTGTGGTTGGCCCCCGCGCGGCCCCCAGAAAGCCGCGCACCAGAGTTGGAAAGCCGCGATCGTTCAAGGGAGATCGATCCACGCCGTTTCAGAAGTCAGTCCACGACGGGAATATGCCGCAGATGCGCGTACCGCCCCCCTTATGGTCATTGTTCGCTATGGCTCGGCCTCGCTCGACAGGACTAGCCTCTGCACCCTCCTCTTCCACCTCCTTCTCTCATGCCGATCTTCGGGGGGGCAGCATTGAGTCCCGCGTGTTGGAGATGTCTCGACGATCCCCAGTACACGTGTTAGCCCAGTGCTTGTCTATCCGGTTCAAATTTCCACCGACAGTATGCAGCCTGTGCCGGTCCTCACTGCACCGCCTGCGTCGTAATGAAGGGCTCCGGTCTAGTGGACAGGCAAACGTTTGTGCTAACATACGTCCTGAGGATCATCGATTGTCATCCGCGTCACCCTTCCATGCCAGGCGTACGTCGCCGTTTTGGCTCCAAGCTCATCGCGACCGCAGCTGAGCTGGAATGGTAGAGGTGGTGATCCCCGATGGAGAGCGAGATCAAGTCGGGGTTGGAGTCGGGACGGAGCTGGCAAAGTCGAAGTACGCAGAGGACGTTTTCGACAGCGGGCACTCCAGCGTGTGGGGCTCAACGTGCGAATCGCAAACAGCGCACGAGGGACAGGAGGAGGGTGAAGGAGAAGTGAGGATAGTGCAAGCGAGGAGGATGAGGAGGACGGAGGGAGAGAGGGCATGTGAAGGAGTATGAGGAGGAGGAGGAGGAGGAGGAGGAGGAGGAGGAGGAGCAGGAGCAGGAGGAGGAACAGGAGGAGCAGGAGGAGGAGGAGGAGGAGGAGGAGCAGGAGGAGGAGGAGGAGGAGCAGGAGGAGGAGGAGCAGGAGGAGGAGGAGCAGGAGGAGGAAGAGCAGGAGGAGGAGGAGCAGGAGGAGGAGGAGCAGGAGGAGGAGGGGAAGCAACGCCGCCCCGCTTCCGAGCCCTCAGCAGCTCCGTTCAAGCGTCCGGCGGGCCCGGCGGCCGTGGCCAGCGTGCCCCCCCCCCTGGGGTCGGAGCGGCTCCCGGGAGGCGGTCTTTCCTGCGGAGGCCGCCTTGCTCGCAGCCGGTGCGAGGGTCGAGAGCACCTGGCTCGCGTCCTCCTCCTCCTCCTCCTCCTCCTCCTCCTCTGCCTCTTCCTCATCTTCCTCTATAAGTTTCTCCTCCTTCTCCTCCGCCTCCTTTCTTCCTCAGGAGAAAGCTTCCGGATGCTGGAGGCGATACAGTTTCACCGTGAAGGGGGCGGGGTTTTGATTGCATACTATAGTAGGGCTGCATCTCTGGGCACGGAGGCGGAGGCGGTCTTTCCTGAGGAGGCCGCCTTGCTCACGCAGTGGCGAAGCGTTCTGGCTCGCCTATAGCCCCACAAGCAATGTTCTAAGACCTTCTGTGTGGTTTCCACGAAAGGTTCTTAGAACATTTCTGGCGGGGTCTGTCTTGTTTTAGCACATTGGGCTTATGTTATAAGAACGTTGTTTTTGTTATTCGGACATTTTGGGGTTCTAAGAACATGTCATGGTAGGACTATAGGAATGCCGGGACGGTCGGTTCCTGCTCAAGAGCACCTCTGGTTCAGGGGATGACCCTCTGAGCCAGGGATGATCCCCTTGATCCATGTTTGCGATGCGGTCGCAAGCATGGATCCAGGGGGCGTGGATTAGCGACGGAATCGCGGATTTCCGCCGCCGAGCGAGGCGGCACCGTCCGCATTTTGGGGAGGGCGCCTACCCCGATTCCTGGATTTGGCGACCGCGCGCCAAATCCATGGCGCGCGGTCGCCCCCGACTGGCCAGGGGTGCCCTCACGTGTTCCCTGCTCGTAACGTCTGCTTTGAACATTGAACATGAACTTTTGACGCTCCGCGCGGATTTCTTGGATTCGCGCTGGGCCCTCCTCCCGCCCCCCTGGCGGCGCCTCCGGCGCCACCCCTGGCGCGCTCCGCGCGCCAAGGAGGGGGGTCCAGCGCAGATCCAAGAAATCCGCGCGGAGCGCCAAAAGTTTGTGCTCACATTGTTTTTCTTGTTCTAAAGAGCACCCCTGGCTAGGGCTGTGGAAGTCGATTAATGGAGAGTAAGCATGTTGCCACATAATTTCCATATGTCTTAAAGGTGTTTCAAATATGTTTTAATGTTTTAAACAGAAAAAATCAAGTTTTTAAACTTGATTGTAACATGTTCTACGCAATTCAAGCACATTTTTAATTCAATGATAGGACTGCTAATGTCCAACACTGGTTGAAAACTGATGACCCCCCCGGACCCCGACTGCCATTAATTCGTCAGAATAACTATTTGTTTATCTGTCCTCCCTGGAAGAATCCAGGGATGCCGATCGATGCCACTTGTATATACTTCGGTACCGGGGAGAATGCCGATGGAGATGCTCCCGTCTTCCGATCAGACAATGAATTTCGCCATTGGGTTTAGGAATTCAACATCGCTCCCGTGGTATATAATCTATTAGCGGCATGCCGCCGCAGCGCGCGCGCGTTGGCGATTGGCATTTGTGCATTCAGTGTCGTATATCCACATGGGGATGTTCCCGTCCTCTGATCAGAGAATGATTTTTTACATTGGGTTTTCGCCATTGGGTTTAGGAATTCAACATCGCTCCCGTTGTATAACACCGATCAGCGGCATGCCGCCGCCGCGCGCGCGCGCGCGTTGGCGATCGGCACGTGAGCATTCAGTGTCGTATATTTACATGGGGATGTTCCCGTCTTCCGATCAGAGAATGAATGTTTACATCTGGTTCTGCCATTTGGTTTTGGAGTTCAACAGCGCTCCCGTTTTATCGAATCTATCAGCGGCATGCCGCCGCCGCGCGCGTGTTGGCGATTGGCATTTTTTGCATTCGTTGTCGTATATCCACATGGGGATGTTCCCGTCTTCCGATCAGAGAATTAATTTGTGCGTTGGGTTTGTTGTCGCCGTTGGGTTTTGGAGTGCGACATCGCTCCCGCTTGATCAAATCTATCAGCGGCATGCCGTCGCCGCGCGCGCGCTCGCTGGCGATTGGCAGTTTTGCATTCACTGTCGTACGTCCACATGGGGATGTTCCCGTCTTCCGATCAGAGAATGAATTGTTACATTGGGTTTTCGCCATTGGGTTTCTGAGATCAGATTTCGTTCCGTTGTATAGAAAATACCAGCGGCATGCCGCCGCGGCGCGCGCTGGCGCTTGGCAGTTTGGGATTCAGTGTCGCATATCCACATGGGGATGTCCCCGTCTTCCGATCCGTTTTTTTTTTGTTGAATGAATTTGGTTTTCGCCATTGGATTTTGGAGTTCAACCTCGTTCCCGTTGTATAACACCTATCAGCGGCATGCCGCGCGCGCTGGCGATTGGCATGTCTGCATTCAGTGTCGCATATTCACATTGGGATGGCCCCGTCTTCCGGTCATAAAATGATTTTTTTAATTTGGTTTTCGCCATTGGGTTTTCGAGTTCAACATGGTTCCCTTTGTATAGAAATCTATCAGCGGCATGCCGCCGCCGCCGCCGCCGCCGCCGCCGCCCGCGCGCGCGCGCGCGCGCGCGCGCGCGCGCGTTGGCGATTGGCATTTGTGCACTCGTTGCCGCGTATCCACATGGGGGTGACCCCGTCTTCCGATCAGTGAATGAATGTGTACATTGTTTTTTTGGCCATTCAGTTTTGGAGTTCAACACGGCTCCTGTTATATCAAATCTATCAGCGGCATGCCGCCGCCACGCGAGCGCTGGCGATTGGCATTTGTGCATTCGATGTCGTATATCCACATTGGGGTGTTCCCGTCTTCCGATCAGAGCATGATTTTTTACATGGGATTTTCGCCATTGGGTTTTCGAGTGCAAAATCGCTCACGTTGCATCAAGTCTATCAGCGGCGTGCCGCGTTTGCGTATCCAGTGCCGCTTCGCAACCCAGACAGGGTGCGCGGTGCGCAGGGAGTGGTCCCTGAACGCAGTCTCTATCCACGCTGGGGTCGCAGGGCGTGCCAGTCGTGGCCTGACGCCAAGAGGGGGTGCGCAGGAATTTGCCCGTGCACGCAGGGCGCCATGGCGGTCGCGGGGGCGTCTCCAGCGATCCAGTTTGCCCCGCCCGTCTCTTTGTTCTCTATAGGCGCACTACAGCGCTGGGGAAAACCATATTCTAAACTGTCTCCCCAACATATTTTTAAAACCGTTTTTTGAGACATTAGAGTGTCCATTGGCATGGCATCCACAAGGCTAGGGGTGCCTTCGCGTGTCTCGTGCAAGTTCGTGCCCGCGCCGCCTGCCTCGGCGCTCCCCCGAAGTGCGGGCCCTCTCCTCGGGGCCTCTGCAGGGGCCGTCGGCGGAGCGGCTCGCTTTTCCCCGACCCCCCGCGCTCCGGTGGCCGTGCTTTCGTTTTTGCGGGCGGTGGTTGTGCACATCTATCGGGGGCCCCCAAACGGGGTGGTGACCACACCGTGTGGTGAGTCGGTGGGGATTCGGGGTCACCGTACGGTTTTGGGACTCGAGGGTCCCAAGACCGTGCGGTGACGGGCCGTGCGGCGAGGTCTCTTGGGGTTCCGAGGTCACCGCGCGGTCTGTCACCACACGGTTTTGGGAACCCCAAATCTACGCTGGCGATAATTATATCCACATCCAGTGCGTCTTGGAGTCTTGGGCTCTCTTCCCCAGAAGCCGTAGGCGCACTGGATATGGAAACAAACATGTGGCCCCAAGGGGCTCGATGTTATCCATATTTCCAGTGCGCCTCGGCGTTGCGGCACCTCTTCTCCAAGACGCTCTGGATATGGATACAAGTACTGCCCGCAATCTAAGGGGGAAACGAAAACCAACAAACACAACTCATCGTCTATTCCCCAGAGAATAGGGGAACATGGGGGAAGTGGGGGGAAGGCAAAAACCCAGAAACTAGGGGAAACCATGTGGAATCCTGTTATCGGTGTCTAGTTACTTGTGTGTCCCAGGGCCGCTTCAATGTCGTCGCTGGCAGACACGTGGGCCTCGCTTCATCGTCTTCTCGTGCGTAGGGCAAGCGGGGACTACGAAGCCTGGGGGGATCGGGGTTGGTAGGAGCGTGGCCCGTGAGGAGCCCCAGTTGGTCCCCAAACTTCCACTGCAGGCCCAGCCGTTCCCCCCCCCCCCGTTCAACAAGCTCGATCTTCGGGACGCCTGGGCTTGGCATCGCTCGGACGTTTGCATTCTTCCTTCGGCGAGGACCATCGAGGAGCATCCTCGATCATTTGGCGAAAAAAACCACGCCCGAACCCGAAAAAAAACACAGGACATGGACGTCCGAGCGATGGCCAGTGGGTCGGCGCACCTTCCGGGCGAGCGCGCCGACGTCGGAGCGCAGACTTGTGGGGTCCTGGGCAGAGCACCCGATTTCAGGGGGCCCGTTGTGGTAGCGGTCGTTGGCCTGCGGGGGGCCCCTCTTTATTCGCTAGGGGGCCAAATGCGAACCCTACCCCTACCCCCCACGATTCTAAGGGGGGTGGGGTTCATTCCATTCGGGAGCTCCCGGACGAAGTGAACCCCACCCGCCCCCTCAGAAATCGTGGGGGGTAGGGTTAGGGTTCGCATGTGGCCCTCTTTATTCGCTTCGGCGGGACGCAGCTCGGAGAATTGGCGCGCTCGGTCCCCAGGAGGGAGCCGGGGACCGAGGCTTAGCTACCGTTGCTTCAACTCGCCCTCCTGTGACAATTACTCCCGCGCGTACCGGCGAGGGGCCAGATGTCCACGGTGCTGGTCTTCGCTCCACCGCCGTCCCCCCGATCGCACCCAACCGGGGGGAGCGGCGAGTCAGGGGCAACGCCAGGGGAGGAGAGGCTGAAGTCGGGCGTGTCCCTCCACAGGGGGAATCTTAGAGAGTAGTTGAGAATAGTACTGGAACGATGCTTCGGGTTTCTGCACCATCTTTGAGTATTATTCGACGATTTTGAGTTCTTCTTCCAAGCTCCGCCTGTCGGAGGGCATGCCCGACCGAACGATAGGCCCACGGGGGGGGATGCCGCGCCCCCCCATCGCTCGTCCCGTGCCGGCAGAGGCCCGACGGCTCGCCCCGCCTGGGAACGTGGCGGCTTGGTCGGCGGCCATAGCCGATTCCAGGTCGATGTTTCCACCCCCTGGGCCGGTCCCCTCCCTTCGTTTCCCGTCAGGGGGCCACCGTCCCTCATGAGAAGGTGGCGTATCTCGATGCCTTGTCCCCACCCGATACCCTTCCCCCAGCCAGCCCTCTTCGCCGGAGGTCGTGGGTATCAGGCGGACTGGCTCATGCCAGTCCGGCGGCTGCGGGGCCACCGCATAGGTGGGGGCGCTTGGCCCGCTAGAACTGCAGGGAAATCGCACCGTGGCTTGGTTGCTTGGTTGCCACCCTGGGTTTCTGCTCGTTGTACCGGCTCTTGCACTTGCGCTAAATATGTCAACGGGCGAATAATCACGATGCCTCATGAAGTTGGATTCGCACCCAGTGCGGTGCATTCACAGTCAACTCGCATAGTAAGGATGGGCAACCTTCCCAGGGGTACCCTTGCATCCTTGCCTCCTCAGTCCATCCTTGGCCACTTTCGTTGGCCACGCCCCGCTGGAAAAGCTTCGAAATGGCCTTCCAAGGCCCGTGCATCCTTATCGCGCATCCTTATGAGACCGGCCGACTGTAATCACGATGCCCCAGGGAGTTTGATTCGCACCCAGCGCGGTGCATTTAGCAGCGGGCTTCCCCCCAAGGGACGTTGCTGGCCTCTCGCACGACACGCGCCCTCGGCCACCACAATCGGGTGCAGAGTTGCGAACACGGTGGGCCGAGGGCAGCGGACTCAAGGCGCTCATTCGTGCCCCAGGCAGGGGCCTCGTGCCGTGGGTGGTTGATGCTCGTTCTGGACGTCACCTTTGTGCAGTGATGTCAAGCAGCGGCGAAGCGTCCTGGCTCGCCTATAGGCCCCTCAGAGACTGTTCTGGGACATGTTCTTACGACATTTCTGGCTGGGGCTGTCTTGTGTTAGCACACTGAGCTTCTGATCTGAGAACATTCTTGTTGCTCTTAGATCATTTTTGGGAGGCCTACAGGAATGCCGGGACGGTCGGTCCCTGCTGGTGTGATGGTGTCCGCTCCGCTCCGCTCGGCGGCGCGCAGCCGCTCCGCTCCGCGGGGGATGTGAGTCAGCCACGTGCAGATGGGGGTGGGGAGAGGGGGGGGGCTTCTTAGAAGCACCCTTGCTTCTTAGAAGGCTCGGGCCTTATCTATAGATGTAAGGCCGGCGCCTGCTAAGAAGCAGCCTGCTTCTAAGAAGCCCTCCCCCCTCAACCCCACCCCCTTGCGCGCGCCGCCAAGTGACAGGGGGCAGGCCTTCCGAGGAGGCGGCCGGTGGCTTCGGAGGAGGCTCCGAAAGCTCCTCTCGGAGGGCCAAGGGCCCTCAGAGCCTTCCGACGTCAGGAGGGGAACACACACAGAGGCACAACTCAGCGTCGACTCCCGGCAAGATGGGGGCAAAAATATGGGACGTGGGGGGGGGGAAGACGAACAAAAACCAGAATATATGGGGAACATCCTGCTGTCTGAGTGTATTTCTGTGTCTGTCCCAGAGATACAATTCATCGTCGACTCCCGGAAAATGGGGGCAAAAATATGGGAAGTGTGGGGGGGGGGGGGGAAGACGAACACCCAGAAAGTGTTGGAAAATATGGGGGCCCAGAAGGGCCCTCAGAGCCTTCCGACATCAGGAGGGCCCTCAGAGCCTTCCGACATCAGGAGGGGAGAAAGCACAGAGACACAACTCAGCGTCGACTCCCGGAAAAATAGGGGCAAATATGGGAGGTGGGGGGGCAGACGAAAACCCAGAAACTAGTGGAAGATATGGGGAATCCTGCTGTTTGTGTGTGTGTGTGTGTGTTTATTTGTGGGGGGGAAGACGAACACCCAGAACATGTTGGAAGATCGGAGGTGAGGGGGTGAGATCGAAGTGGAACGGAGAGCCCCCCTAACGGGAAATCGATTTCGGTTTCATGTTCGTGCGTGCCGTGCGTGCGGGCGAGGCGAAGCTGCGTGGGCGGGCGAGAGAAAGTCTCCTGTGGCTGAGGCGCGGCTGGACCAAATGTCTCCCTTCCGGGCGGCCGGGGGCCCGCGGTGTCCCGCCGGTGTCCCGCTGGTGTCCCGTGTGGCTGAGGCGCGGCCGGACCAAATGATTCCCTTCGGGCGGCCGGGGCCCCGCGGTGTCCCGCCGGTGTCCCGTCGGTGCCCCGTCGGTGCCCCGATGATGATGAGGATGAGGATGATGATGATGATGTTGATGGTGATGATGGTGATGTTGATGTTGATGATTTACTTCGATGATCGATCGTGAGATCGATAGTGAGGTCGAATGTGATATCGATAGTGAGGGCGATAGTGATATCGATTGTGAGATCTAACGTGAGACCGAATGTCAGACCGATTGTGAGATCGATTGTGAGATCGATAGTGGTATCGATAGTGAGATCGATTGTGAGACCGAATGGGAGATCAAATGTGAGATCGATTGTGATATCGATAGTGAGATCGATAGCGAGACCGAATGCGAGACCGATTGTGGGATCTATTGTGAGATCGATAGTCAGATCGAGTGTGAGATCGATCGATTGAGGTTGATAATGAGATCGATAGTGAGTTCGATAGTGAGACCGAATGTAAGACCGATAATGATATCGAAAGTGAGTTCGACAGTGAGATCGATCGTGAGACCGAATGCGAGATCGATTGCGAGATCGATTGTGACATCCATAGTGAGATCGATAGTGAGACCGAATGTGAGATCGAGAATGAGATCGATTGTGAGTTTGATAGCGGGATCGATAGTCGGATCGAATGTGAGATCGATTGTGATATCGATTGTGAGATCAACAGCGAGACCGATTGTGAGATCGATGGTGAGATCGATTGTGAGATCGATTGTGCGATCGATAATCAGATCGATCGTGAGATCGATCGATTGAGATCGATTATGAGATCGGTAGTGAGTTCGATAGTGAGATCGATCGAGTGCGACGTTGGCCCCTCCCCCCCCTCACCTCCTTATCACCCGAAGGGTGGTCGTATAGGTATGGGGAATATCCTGCTATATCTGTGTGCATTTCTTGGTGTGTCCCAGGGCCCCTTCGTCTGAGGAGACACAACTCATCGCCGACTCAATATGGAAAGTGTGTGTGGGGGGGGGAAGACGAAAAAAAACAGAAAGTGTTGGAACATATGGGGAAGATCTTGCTGTGTCTGTGTGCATTCCTTTGTGTGTCCCAGGGCCCCTGCGCCCGAGGAGGCCCGCCCCTCTGCCCGCTCCCCCCCCGGGGGGGGGCGCGCTCCCGATCCCCTCCGCCGCCGCTCTCCGCCGCCGCCGCCGCCGCCGTCGTCGCCGTCGTCGCCGCCGCCGCCGCCGCCGCCGCCGCCGTCGCTGCCGTCGTCGTCGTCGTCGCCGTCGCCGCCGACATCGTCGTCGGTCGTCGTCGCCGCCGTTGCCGTCGTCGCCACCGTCGTCGTCGTCGTCGTCGTCGTCGTCGCCGTCGTCGCCGCCGTCGTCGTCGTCGCCGTCGTCGCCGTCGTCGCCGCCGCCGCCGCCGTCGTCGTCCAGAGCCGTGCAGATCTGGTCTCCGGGCGCCTCCTGGGAGCCCGCCCGTGGCCGGGCCTGCGAGCCGCGCCGGGCCGCCGCTGGCGTCGCTGTCGTCGCGGCGGCGCCCGCGCCTGCCCTCGTGCGGGCTCGCCCGGGGGGGGGGCCTTGTCGCGGCCCGCGGGCCCCAGCTCGCCCAGGCTCCTGGTTCGAGCCGGCCACGGGGCGCTGGGGCTACGCCTGCTGCAGGACCGCCGCGACGTCGTCGTCGTCGGGGTCCTTGGCATCGCTCGGACGTGTGCAGCTTTTCTTCGGCGAGGACCATCGAGAACCATCCTGCACCCTGGACCATCGAGCAAACAAAAACACGCGCGCAACCGAAAAATGCACGGGAAATGGACGTCCGAGCGATGGCGAGGGTCGTCGGGCGAGGGTCGAGGTGTGCTTCGTGGTCTCCCTGGGGGCGCCCCCGTGGCCACAGCCAGATCCTTTTCAGATCGACGGTTCTGGCCTTAAGTCGGGCCTGTCCTCCTACAGGGGGATTTTCGACGAAAAATGAAAAATACCCCAAACATAATCCACAAATAGTCTGGGGGCTATTTCTGGATTTTTGTTTTTGCCTTTCTGGCGTATTTTTGAGGTATTTTTTATTTTTCGTCGAAAATCCCCCTGTAGGGGGACAGGTCCGACATAATTCTGGCCCCACTGCGCCTTTGGCGAGGTGAGGGTGTCGACTGCTGGAGCGAGGGCCGCCATTTGGAGGAGGAGGGAGGAGGAAGGGCAGAGGGAGGCAGGAGTCAAGCGAGAAGGGCCAGGAGTGAGTTGTGAGGTGCGAGGGACCCGTGCTTTGGCCCCATGGGCGGGGATCCCCTCTGGGCGGCTGCCTCGCTGCGAGCGCTTGCGTCCGAAGTGACCCGCGGGCCAACGCAGCAAGGGCGGCGTGAGTCTCACCGAAGGGGTGTCAACGGACCGCCCCTCGTCGGTGTTAAGGTGATGGCAGTCAGTGTGCACGAAGGCTGCACGACGGCCCCGTAATGCAATGTGGTTGGTTCCATGCAGGGCAAAGGATAGCAGCGCTTTGCAATTACAATGGGAATCCAGTGTTTTGGTGTGCCAGGCGGCTACAGTATCATGGTTTCCGATGGCGCGATCTGCTCGGCAACTCCATACAACCACGCTATGCTGAACATGTATCAATATGGTACAGGGTGTTTCACGCCATCAGGCTGGGCTGTGCTCTGTGGTGCTATGCTATTCGAGGTGTTGCACTGCGAAAGACATGGCACTGCTTTGCGTTACTACGATGATGGCATGCGAATGGTGGCTACGAGATGCTATGCCACGACACGCGACGGATGCGATGAGGTGCAATGCGGTACGATGCGCCACCAGGGAGTCCCGAACAAACAACGGGCAGCCCGTGAGGAACCTGACCGATCACTGTCTTTCGCCCCAGGCCCCTTCCACTGCCAACCGAGATAGACCCCCATCGTTGAAGCCTGAAGGTGGCCTCCAGGGCCCCCGCAGAGATCACCGCCCGCCGCCCACGACCCACCGGATTCACCAGTCTTTCTCGCACCCGAGGAGTTGAGCCCCGGGGAAGTGAGCCCCAGGGCGCGGGCGGCGTCGGAGATGCCTCTCCCTCAGAGGGCGTCGATGTTCAGGGCCGAGACCGCCCAAGCGGGCGCGGACGTTTCCGGCGATGATGTTCGCCATGGGAAGTCAGGGCGGCCTGGCGCAGGGTTGCCAGATATCCTCAGAGTTGTCGGCCCTAGAGTTTGGGCTTGCAGTTGAGCCCCTTTGGGCGAGGCCTGTGTTTGCTCGGCGCCTCCCAGGCAAGCTCCATGCACGCCTCTGCGCGTGCTGGCGCGCGCGGTGGCGTGCGTCGAGCCGGTGTGGTGCACGCCCGTCGTCGTCCAGTGAGCGGGGAGAGGACAGGGAGCGCATTGCCTCGGGAGCCCCCGAGGGCAGCGCCGGCCACTGCAGTCACGTGCTCTCCTCGCAGCAGTGGAGATCAGCCCTAGCTTCGGCGTCACCCCAACATACAGTGCCGTTTTTAATACATGCTCTGCGTGCGGACCATGTATTAGAAATAAAGGGTTGATTATTGGATACAAGGATGAGTTTTTGCATTCATTTGTTATAGATTACTCAAGTATTAAAAGCCAATATTTTTAAAACCCAATGTATACAAAAACTGCCCTGTACCAATTCTATGTGTGTGTCGCCCCCTACCCCCTGGGGCGACGCGCGTGCAGAGAGACGCCCTACAGCATGAGCCCCGTGGCGGGCGTGTTCTGGCCGTGCCGCTCGGGAAACGACTTGCCACAATAACCTCATGCCCGTGAGAATAAACACTAGGGGATAATAAAGTTCGGGGTTCAGGGAGAGATAATAAAAGTAGCCCAGCAGACCTCAGCATAATCTCGAAGTAAGAGATGAGCAAGAGGAGACCAAGCCGAGCACGTTTTGAGACATCCTTGGCGTTTAGTTTTCATAGAAATATCCTCAACAATGGCTTATCTCGCTGGAGACATCCTCGACAAATCCCTTGTTTCGCTCGGAGGAAAAGAAGAAAAAAACTCGAGTTTCAAATCTATTAGATTTTATTTACAAACGCTTTATGAAAATTGTTTTTTGTAAGTGATCGTGTAGGGTAGCTCATGTGCCTCAATTTCCATGGATAATCAACCCCAGAGATAAACAAGTTCAGGCGAGCGTGGGGACAGAGAGAAATATAAAAGAAGAATAATACAGTAGAAGAATAATAAGAAAGAAGAAGAAGAGGATAATAAGAAGAGGACGAAGAAAGGAAAAATCCAAAGTTCCAAATCTATCAATTTTAATTTACAAACGCTTTATGAAAATTGTTTTTTTAAGTGCTCGTGTAGGGTAGCTCATGTGCTTCATTTTCCATGGATAATCAACCCCAGGGATAAAAAAGTTCAGGCGAGCGTGAGGACAGATAGAAATATAAAATAAGAAGAGGAAAGTAGAATAATAATCAGAAGAGAATAAGAAGAGAAGAAGAAGAAGAGAAGAAGAACGGAAAAATGGAAAGTTCCAAATCTGTCAATTTTAATTTACAAGCGCTTTATGACAATTTATTGTTTTAAGTGCTCATGTAGGCTCATGTGCTCCCCTTTCCATGGATAATCAACCCCAGAGATAAAAAAGTTCAGGCGCGCGCGGGGATATATACATATGTAAAAAGGAAGATAATAAAACATATAAATAAAAAGAAAAAGTTGCTGGTTTAGCTTGAAACATCCTTGAGACATCCTTGGAACATTGCTCGTTTCGTTTGAGTCTGCCTCCCAAAATTATTGGTTTCGCTTGACACATCCTGAAAAAGTGTGATCGCTTCGCTTGATGTTGCTATATCAACATCGCTTGATGTTGCTATCTCAACATAGCGTTTCGAGGTGATAATGAAGTTCGGCCTCAGCGCTCGCCGCCCAATTTGAATTTTGTATAGGGCGACGATAATCAACTCTAAACACTGAAGGGGGGGGTCCCTTTATTATCATCGGCATGCGGTTACTCAGGAGGGAGAAAACACACAGACACAATGAATCGTCGATCCCCCAGAAACTACGGGAGAGTATGGGCAGTGGGGGGGAAGACAAGAACCCAGAAAATATGGGGAAATATGGGGAATCCTGTTATTTGTGTCTATTTATTTGTATGTCCCAGGGCCCTTTCACATATGCTCGGGTCCCACGCACGCCTCAAATCAGGACATCTGGTGCGAGTATGTCTTTGTGCGTCCCATTCCTGTGGGTGAGGCCGCTAGACCTCGCCAGGGAGAGGTCCGCGAGCGCGCTGCCCTCTGAGCCCAGGGAGTGGCACCGCCCTCCGTGGACCACCCGTTGCCGTCGCTGGCCCTTGCTGCACTAGAAGAGCGGAGCCTCGTTGTGTGCGAGGTCCCGAGGCGTTTGGAGCTCCGCGATGAGCACGGGGGAATCCGAGACCAGGATCTTCACACATGATGAGCCAGTCTACCACTACCGCACCACAAGTAGGACGGGGGAGGAGGGAGGATGGGAAGGTCCTCCTCCTCATTCTCCCCCTCCTGCCTCTCGAGCGGTACCCGCAATGGGGTGGCGCGAGTGGGGCGTCTTTGGAAGCACGATGGATGTCCTCTCCGAGGTCACCGAGTGCGTTCCTCTTCTCGCAGAGTGTCACCTCGCAAACGTCCGACAAACACATGTCTGCACGAATGGAACGTACCGTAAACCCCTCATGGGGGATTCGGGCAGGCTGCCAGCACCTACCATGCGGATCGTGGAACGCGCCTGTCTAAGAAGGCAGGGGCTTGCATGAAGGGCCCGGGGGCTTTTGAGCAAGAAGGCTTCCTGGAAGCCGGGAGGGCCTCCAGGAGGGCACCTGCCTTCTCAGAAGCGCTCTCCCCCGCCTCGGAGGGCCGCCCCCCTCGCGCCGCCCCGTGGTGGGCGGCGCCAGCCGCCGCTGTGCCGGGTCCCCCTGGACCTCGGGAGGGAGCTGACGTGTGCCCACTCCACCGCCACCAGGGGCACTTCGCATCGGCTCCCGCGTGGCACGCGCGTCGAGCATGGGATGCGAGCACGAGGGGTGGGAATGTGTTCCAAAGGTGAGGCGGGCGGCATAGGGGCAATCGATGTGCGTCACCAGTGTGTCTGCGGATGCGATGCGCAGTTGTGCTGAACAAGCATACCTGAACACGAATGTGTGAGCGAATTCGATCAGCAAATGCGTTTACAACGGGTAAGCAGACAGCGCTTGGGCTCCACATGTGTTTGACATCGTGAAGCGAACACGCGCTGAACAGACTTGTTCGTATCTCGCCAAGCAGTGATGTTGAGGTCTAAATTTGGTCCACCTGGAAGACATCATTGGTATTTTTGTGTTTGAACATTTCGGCCGAACGTGTTGAAAACACCCTAAGTTGTTGGACCGTGACGTCGCCATCTGCTGGAGAGCCGCGTCTGATTTTCAGAATTTCGATGTCGCCCCCCACACGAAACGGCAACTCACAGCTGAACGGCGACACCAACACGCACCTCCGAGCTCTACTCTCTCAGGCAGGTGCGTATGGAAGTACATCTCTCTATACACATATAGGCGAGCGAGGGGGGAAGTGAGAAGGAAAGGCCTTCTCAGGAGGTTCGGAAGTCCCCCAGTCTTCTGAGAAGCTTCCTAGGCCTTTTTACCGAAGACGAACAGCTTCTCAGGAGGCGCGGGGGGCTTCTGAGAAGTCCAGCCGCCTTCTGAGAAGGCCTTCTTCCTTTCGTTTTCCCCCCCATCGCTCGCCGCCGGATACAGATACGTACGCACATGTGTGCATGCTCACACACGTATAGCGCCCCGACGACTGCCCCTCCCCCCACCCCCAAGCGTCCCGACGTGGCGTCGGCGCCGCCGTTCGGGCCGTGGTGGTCCGAGGCCGCGGTGCGGAGCTCCGCCAAAGGCGGCGCGCGATGCGTGCGCCAGGGTTTGCGGCGAGGGCCAGCGGGCGCCGTGCCGTGGATCCATCGCGCGGGCCCGCCGCGCCTCCCGAAGGCCTCCCCGGAGGGCAGTCCAGGCAGATAGGGGCCCAAGCCTCGCTCCGCAGCGACGATGCAGCGGCGACGCGGCTCGATGTGGATCTCAGTTTCTGTTCCACCCCGACGTCGCCGACGCATCGCCTGTGCGGCGCGATCCTCCGATCCCATCCGCTCGGAGCCCATGCAGGAGGCCTGTGGTGGGCGAGTCACGGGTCGGGCAGTGCCTCTCCGCAGGAGCGCAGGGTTTGGAAACATTCGGCGGCGCGCCGAGGAGGGCAGCGGGGCCTCTCGGGAGCCCTCGTGGCCTGCCGAGAGAAACCCGATGTGGCCTCTGCGAGGAGGAGGAGGAGGAGGAGGAGGAGGAGGAGGAGGAGGAGGAGGAGGAGGAGGAGGAGGAGGTGGAGGGCTCAGGGAGCCACTATCTCAGGGTCTCCCGAGCCTTCCGGGAAGGCTCGCTCCCTCTGCAATCTCCCGTCGGCGCGCCGCCGGGCTGTGCGCCGAAGTCTCGCCTTCGGCGGGACTCGGCGGTGTTCGACGGTCTTTCGGCGGCAATCAGCGGTCCTTGGCGGCAATCGGTGGACTTTGGCGGTCTCCCGTGCGAATGCTGGACAATTAAGATGGGCCTGGACATCTTAGGATGGAGATGTGACACCACCACTACCAATGGATCCACCTCCAGCGAGGGGGTCCACGATGACCCCCCAGAGTCGGGGTCAGGGGATGCCTCGCGCGCGAGTGGAAGAGGGGACCTCACCACCAGGACCCTCCCTGCCGACTCGCGCCGGTGTCGGTGGTGTCGCCCCTCCTCGCTCCTGGACACAGGCACCACCCTCCTCCCCCGTTCTTCGCCCTTCCTCGCCCTTGCTCGCTCCTGTCCCCCTTCCTCCCCAGACCCCCAGCGTCGAGATTTTCTACAGCGCTGACCCCCAGAGGTCCGGATCCCTCCCCCGGGACTGGATCTTTATCCTGGGCCGTTTTTCGACGGTCCCGAGGCCCCGGGAGGGCCCCCGGAGGCCGAAAATAGAGAGGGCCCTCCTCCTTCTCCTCCTCCTCCTCCTCCTTCTCCTCCCCCTCCCCCTCCCCCTCCCCCTCCCCCTCGAGGAGGAGGAGGAGGAGGAGGAGGAGGAAGAGGAGGAGGGAAAGCACCCCCCCGTCGTGACTCGTTCACAATTCGCGAGGGGGTCGGGGCCGCCCTTGCTTCCCGCCTCCCCCCCGGGGAGCCCGGGCGCCTCGCCGCGCAGGAGCACGGCCCGCCCGGGGCCCCCCTGCTGCGCGGGCGGCGGCGCCCCGCGGGCCGGCCGGGAGGCCGGCGACGGCGCCGGCGCCCCGCAGAGGGCGGCGGAGCAGGCGGCGGTTCGCTCGCCTTCGGTCGGGCCGATCAATAAGAACGCCGCCACGATCACAGCCAGCGGGGATCCATTATCTCGACGCGACATACACTTGAACATGCTTCGAAAGCCTCAGGGCCCCGGGCGGCCCCAGGCGCTGCGCTCATCTCCCAATCTGGGACCTCGGAAACCTGGCGCGCCAAGGATCCCCGCTGGCTTCGATCGTGGCTGGCGTCCCCACACAGGGGGACTTTTAGGGGAGCGAGCCATGACATGGACAGAAACAGCAAAACACTTGGAGGTCCGCGAGGGTTTCTCGGATCGGCGCTGGGGCCCCCCGGCGGCGCCCCCGGCGCCGCCCCTTGGCGCGCTCCGCGCGCCAGGGGAGGGAGGCCCAGCGCCGATCCGAGAAATCCGCGCGGACCTCCGAGTTTTTATGTTTATGCCACTTTTTGGATGTACCCCTAATTTGGACGAGAAATAAGAAATAGTAAGAACATACCCCCACACGGTCCAAAACTATTCAAACGATAGTCCTCAGGCTATGTTTCGACTGTTTTGGAATATTCCCCCTGTAGAGGGACAGGCCCGACTGAACGCTCGCCTGCGGCGCCCACCAGGGCTTCCATCGGGCGTGTCCCTTGACAGGAGGAGTACTCAAGGATGGCATCAAGAACAGCTTGGGGTATCGATTTGTCGATCGATGTTTGCTATCCTTGCTTTCGTCTCGAGTATGCTTTAGCTCTCGCCCAAAATCCGCCCGTAGGAGGACATGCCCGACCTGAACCTATAGGGGGGTGGCCTCCGGTATCGAGTCCTGGGAGCATGTTACACCCTCGCCGATCCGTTTTTAGGTTTGCGTCGTGTCGACCAGCGGCGACCCCAGCGCGGGCGTTCAAGGTTGAACGCCGCCGGCGACCAAGAATCGATCGATGTTGAACGATCGGACGTTGCGGCAGCGGCCGATCGTTCAAGGTTGAACGATCCCTGCGGTGTCAAAAACCAACGCTGGGGTCGGCACGACACGAACCTGCCGTACTTTGGCGTCGACCAGCGTCGGGCAGTCGAGGCGGTAGCGCCGATTTGGCGTCGATCGGCGTCGATGGAGCATCGATGAGCGTCGACCCGCGAGAGCCCACAAGATGGTATTGGAGGCTCCCATTTGGTTGTCCTCCTCCTCCTCCTCCTCCTCCTCCTCCTCCTCTCCTCCCTCCTCCACCTCCTCCTCCTCCTCCCTCCTCCCTCCTCCCTCCTCCCTCCTCCCTCCTCCCTCCTCCTCCCTCCTCCCTCCTCCCTCCTCCCTCCTCCCTCCTCCCTCCTCCCTCCCTCCCCTGCTCAGACTGGATGGGGTCTCGTTCAGAGCAGAGGCCTTCTTGGAATGCCCCAGTCTGGGGCCTTCCACGAAGCTGGGCGGGCTTCCCTGAGGCCCCAAGATTATGATGTTCCAACCCACTGTAGCCGTGATCGCCAGAAATAATTTCGAGCACCAGAGCAAAAGTGCCGAAACTCGAGGGTTTTCACGTGTCGGGCCCTGGGAGACACTCGTCCGACACTGTTTCGACACTTCTTCGACACTCTTTCGACACTCTGCCGGGTGCTTGAGATTGTTTCTGGGATGTGGTCCTTAAGTACGTTGGGAGTAACATAACCCCAAGATTGCGAAGGCCTGACGGCCGGTGCCGCCGACCCTGTTCGCAACGCGCAGCAAGAGATTACGAGGTTGCTCAAGGTCGGCTTGGCTGGAGCCCAGGGGAAGAGGAGTCCCAGGGGGGGGCGTCGTATCTGACCCGGGGGGGGGGTCGCTACCCCCCCCCCCTCCCGGCGGGGGAGGGATCAAAGGGAAGGGGCTTCCCTTCGACTCAATTACGAGGTTGCTCAAGGTCGGCTTGGCTGGAGCCCAGGGGAAGAGGAGTCCCAGGGGGGGGCGTCGTATCTGACCCGGGGGGGGGGTCGACACCCCCCCCCCCCTCCCGGCGGGGGAGGGATCAAAGGGAAGGGGCTTCCCTTCGACTCAATTACGAGGTTGCTCAAGGTCGGCTTGGCTGGAGCCCAGGGGAAAGGAGTCCCAGGGGGGGCGTCGTATCTGACCCGGGGGGGGGTCGACACCCCCCCCCCCCTCCCGGCGGGGGAGGGATCAAAGGGAAGGGGCTTCCCTTCGACTCAATTACGAGGTTGCTCAAGGTCGGCTTGGCTGGAGCCCAGGGGAAGAGGAGTCCCAGGGGGGGGCGTCGTATCTGACCCGGGGGGGGTCGACCCCCCCCCCCCTCCCGGCGGGGGAGGGATCAAAGGGAAGGGGCTTCCCTTCGACTCAATTACGAGGTTGCTCAAGGTCGGCTTGGCTGGAGCCCAGGGGAAGAGGAGTCCCAGGGGGGGGCGTCGTATCTGACCCGGGGGGGGGGTCGACGCCCCCCCCCCCCTCCCGGCGGGGGAGGGATCAAAGGGAAGGGGCTTCCCTTCGACTCAATTACGAGGTTGCTCAAGGTCGGCTTGGCTGGAGCCCAGGGGTTGCTCAAGGTCGGCTTGGCTGGAGCCCAGGGGAAGAGGAGTCCCAGGGGGGGGCGTCGTATCTGACCCGGGGGGGGGGTCGACACCCCCCCCCCCCCCTCCCGGCGGGGGAGGGATCAAAGGGAAGGGGCTTCCCTTCGACTCAATTACGAGGTTGCTCAAGGTCGGCTTGGCTGGAGCCCAGGGGAAGAGGAGTCCCAGGGAAAGGGAAGGACAGAGACGACGAGTACAAAGAATGACGGAGATGACGGCTCGAACGGAAAAGCCCCTCGCACACGCCGACAGGGTCGGCGGATTTTCTTTGAAATCCCGCCGCCTCCTTCGAAGCCCGCTCTCCTCGAGCCGCCCCCTCTCTCTGCGCCGCCAGGCTCGGGGGAGCGCGCGCGCGCATCCCGCGTCGCTCACATACTGTCGGACACCTGGGACTGGCCGCCGGACCGATCCTGGCCGAGCCCGTCCTGGGCCCGGGATCGGTGCGCACGGCCCCCCATCTCCTGGCGAGGGAGCCGCGTGCACCGGTCCCGGACTCGGGAAGGGCCTGGCCAGGGTCGGTGCCAGGTTTTCAGCCGACGTCCCCCGAGGACGAGGGGAGGAGGCTACGTCATCGGATCCCAGGGAGATCGGCCGCCCTTTCAGAGGCTTCGGGGACGAGGACTCGGCTGCCCTTTCAGAGGCTGCCCTTTCAGAGACTGCCCAGGGATCGACTGCCCTTTCAGAGGCTTCAGAGGCTTCAGAGCCCAGGGATCGGCTGCCCTCGAGGACGAGGGAGGAGCTTCGGGCCCGAGGACTCATCGGATCCCAGGGAGATCGGCCGCCCTTTCAGATGCCGGGTCCCGAACGGAGCCAGGCGGGCGCGAGCAGCGCCGTGCCGAGAAGCACTCGCCCAGGGCAGGAGCTGCTTCCCAGCCTGTGTGTTGGTCCCCCCCCCCGCGGATCGGAGATTCGGTTGGGGCTCCAATCGGGGGTGGACAGACCTCCTACCCTGACACGTCGATTAGTGAATTGTCCGTTTTCGTTTCTTGGGAGGGCGCCGCGGCCGTCATTTTCCAGGCTTGCGGCCGCCAGGCTTGGGCCTCAGGTCGTTTTCACTAAACCACGTTTTACTAAAAGGGGATGTCTGTCCATCCCCGATCCAAGGGGGGAAAGAGAGGACACGTGGTGTGAGGGGAGCGAGGAGGAGGGCCCGAAGCGGTACGGCCCTGGGGCGCCCCGACCCATCCTTGGCCCTGGGAAGGGGGAAGGAGGATGGGGATGAGGAGGTGGACGGCAGGAGGGGGACGGCAGGAGGGGGAGGAGGAGGGGGAGGAGGAGGAGGAGCAGGAGGAGGAGCAGGAGGAGGAGCAGGAGGAGGAGGAGGAGGAGGAGGAGGAGGAGGAGGAGGAGGAGGAGGAGGAAGGGGAGGAGAGGAGGAGGAGGAGATGGGCCAGAGCAAGCCCGACATGCATCAGAGGTGCTGCAGTACACCCTCATGTCCCAAGACTCCTCCTCATACGTCCTTGCGCCTTCTTGTTCACTCGAAGACGTGCCCATAAGAAAGGCCAGCGCGCTATATGGCTGCCATTCAGCTGTGCGTCCCCTCTTCAAAAGGCACTGCCCCGCAACCTTCTGGCGCTTCATCCGGAACGGGGAAAGACCATACATACCAAAGGGGTGTCCAGCGAGGTCCCCGCCTTGAAAAAGGGCCGCCCCCCTCTTTGCAAATAGCTGCTACGCCAGTCGACACTCCTGGCCTTGATCATCGAGGACACCTGAAGCGAAAGTCCCATTCTGAAATGGAACCGACCTTCTCATCCATGCAGATGCCACGTGCGTTGAGGCATCCGGTGCTCGACGCCAAGGACGTCTCAAGCAAGAACCCCGTTTTTTTGCAATCGACCCGTGCTCCATTCTTGTGCTCTTGTCCCGAGCTGGTTCGAGCCAGACCAACCCCCCCCACCAAAAACTCTTGTCCCGAACTGGAAGCTTTGATGTCACTGGCAGTGCGCGATGGTGCCTGCGGCCGCTTGTGGCCCACCCAGGGCCGCTTCGATCGCCAGGGCTTGTCGTGGTCAGCTGTTGTGGAGCAGCGTCGCGTTCTGCTGTGCGCCGCAGTGCTGGCCTCCGGTTTCATGATGTATATCGGGCCGGGCGAAAGGGGGGGAGTGGGAAAGGGGGGGTTACGAAAGCTGCTGCATGCAGCTGGTTTCGGCCCCACCGAGGGGCCCCATTCCTCGATACATTGTCGCCTCCCGGCGCCGGGAGGCGCCGGGAAAATCAGCTGCGTGAGCTGATTCTCAAACCCCCCCTCTGCTATCCCCCCTTTCGCCCGGCCCGAGTATAGCATGCGAGTGCGTGCGCCCAACATTTGGTACCCCCAGTTATGATTCGGTCTTCTGTCGCGCTCCCTTGCTTCCTCCTCCTTCGTCCAGGTCCTTCCCTCCGTGATGCGCATGCGAGGTGCGTCGTCTCGTCCACGACAGTAGCCGGTATTGACGGCCGAGGCAGGGTACTGTCCAGGGAGGCTGGCCACCAGCCCTCGTCTCGCTTGCGCGTCGACTTGTCGGGAAGGCCACACGGTGCGCGGGTGGAGTTTCGGTTTTCCTTTCTTCCCAGTGGCTGAATCCTCTTCTGTTGTTCTCGACGCCTCGCTGAATCCCACCAGGCCTTCCAAAAACGATGCCCAGGCGAGTTGCCTCTGTCAGGGATGTGAAGGAGCACGCAGTGGAGTGAAGGGCTGAGGACGCCGTCATATCCCAAGAGGGGGACGATAGAGGAGGAATCGGAGGACATGGAGGAGGGGGCGGGAGGAGGGAGAATGGAGGAGGGAGGAGGAGGCATAGGCGAATGAGGGAGATGATGAGGAAGATGATGAGAATGCGGAGGAGGACGAGGAGGAGGAGGAGGAGGAAGGGCGATCAGAAAAGCTAGATGCCTGTGCGATGCCTCTCGGCGTCTCTTCGGATGTCTCTTAATAGCTTCTTGGAGGCTTCTTGGCGCATCTTGGGGGCCCCTTGGCTGTCGCGGGGGCCTCTTGGAGCGTCTTGGGTGCATCAGGGGGAGCCTCTTGGGGCCTCGTGAGAGTCTCTTGGGAGCCTGTTGGGGACCTCTTGGTGGCATCGTGGGGGCTTCTGGGGGCCTCCTGGACGCCTCCTCGGGCCCTCTTGGTGCACTTCTAGAGGCCTCGGGGTCCATCTTGGGGCCATGCTGCAGGAGTTGTATCGACGAAGGGGGATAAGGGAAAGGGGTAAACCCTTCCCCGAAGGGGAAGAAGGGGGTTGGAAAGGGGCAACCAGTCAAACCACTCACGCCCGAAAGCTTTGGTGGGATTCCCATTCGTCTGGTTGCGACGTTCGCTCGGGAGTGTTTTTTTTACATTCTGGGGCGCATGACGATACTCGCCCGTCTAGTCTTACGGATCACGCGGGATTCGTAGTTGTAAGCTTTTGGTGTTTCTTCGCCCCCCTCCTCCTCCACCTGCGCCTTTCAGCTGGCATGTTCCACGGACCAGGCGCGCCGAGTCTGTGACACGGCCGCTTTGCTGGATCACCTAGGGCAACCATCTTCCATGATTTGGCATGGCAGCTCTTGTGTCTGTTGCACTTTTTTAAGGAGAATGTGCGCGGCGCCCACAAGAGAGCACCATTGTGAAACCGAGCCGCCTTCCATCCTTTCGATTCCTGCAGTTTGTTCCGACGAGTGCGCGGGACGGTAAGGCCACATCCACATTTTGAGAACCGCCCGTGTTTGTCATCCTCGTAGCCGTTGCGAAGTCGGGACGTCTCAGGCGGACGTCGGGAGTCCCACGACATCGGGGATTGGGGTCGCCGTGCCCCAGGCGGGCGTCAGCGAAGCTCATGTCTTTCCAGAGCGTATCGGAGCGCCGCGGGAGCGCCCGGGGTGCTCTTGACCGGGCCCCATCGACCGACGCATCCCCTACAGACCCGCCTGGCTCCCAGAAAGGCCCGATCTGCTTCGGCCCGGCTGCGTGCTCGTTCCAGTCTCGTCCCAGCGCCGTGAGGAGAGGAGGGCCTCGTGGATGCGCGTGGCGAACCCAGGGCCCTCCAGGACGCCAGGGAAAAAGAGAGAGAGAGAGAGAAAATGACCTCTCCCAGCGAAGATGGGTCTCGGCATCAAGTGCTGTTCTCATCACTCAGTCCGTGCCTTAGCTCGGAAACTGGAACACATACATTACCAGTGGCGGGTTTTGTTTCAATCCCACGACTTTTTGAGGGTCGGGGACGACGTCGGGGTGGTGTTGTGTATACGTCTCCCCCGTTTTCCAGGGGAAACAACGAACAATGTATACACCAGGATCCCGTGAACACCAGGATCCGCCCTCCAGTACAAATTTCAATCGGTGTGTAGAGTTCGATTCCCTATTAACCGCGCTTGGATGCGCCTGTGCAACAACGGGGACCCCAGGGTTTTCTCCCGAGCCGGCTCGGCCGCCGCAGGGACCCCTGCTGGAGCGAGCCTCTCCCCCCCGCGCCCCTTACCGCTTGGCATCGCTCGGACGTGTGCATTTTTCTTTCGGCGAGGACCATCGAGTAGCATCCTTGATCATTTGGCGAAAAAACCACGCACGAAACGGAGAAAACACATGGAATGGACGTCCGAGCGATGGCGAGAGCGAGTCTCTCCCCCCCGCGCCCCTTCCCGAGGCCATCCTCGCCTGGGTCCGCAGCCGGCTCTTGGAGTGGCGCGCCCGGCTGAGCGCGGGGGACGCCCGGCTGCTGGCGGAGCCCGCGTTCGGGGTCCCCGCCAAGCTCGCCGAGGCTCCCCCGGCGCGCTACGCCGCCGTGCGTGCCGCCGCTGCTCAGACAGCCCAGAAGTCAGGAGGGAACAAGAATACACAGACACAATTCATCGTCGATTCCCAGGAAGATATGTGAAAATATGGGAAGTGGGGGGAAGACAAAAGCCCAGAAAATATATGACAATATGGGGAGTCCTGATACTTGTGTTAATTTATGTGCATGCCCCAGGGCCCCTTCAAGAAGGTCGGGAGGTGGCATCACCTGTGAGTTGCATTGGACATGCACAGGTCGCCCACGAGTGTACACACCTCGGGACATCGAGGTGCACTCTCGTGTATTCATAATTCGCTGTCTGTGTGTGTCTTTTGTTTGTCCACCAATCTACCCAGGGCTTCATGCACTCTTATCTCACTATCTACCTATCGGGGTATCCATTGGAACAACCTACGGGCCTCTGGAGGGTGAGCGGTACGAAAGGCAGTGTTGCTCGAGCTGCCATATGCCTCCCGAGGTCTCGTCGGAGGTCGCCAGGAGCCTCGAGAGTTTCCAACAATCGCCAACCCCGATGTTCAAAGCTTCTGTTCGTCCGTTTCCTCCTCTTTCCTCACGCGCCCTTCCCCCCCGCGGAGGGGGAAGGAATAGGAAATGGAGGGGACGAGGAGAAGGATGACGAGGAGGAGGCGGTGGAGGAGGATGAGGAGGAGGAGGAGGAGGAGGATTGGGAAGTGAACAGGATGGCGAGGACGAGGAGGAGGAGGAGGAGGAGAAGAAAAGCAGGAGGAGGTGGAGGAGGAGGAGGAGGAGGAGGAGGAGGAGCACGAGATGCGATTCTTTGCCGCGCGGCCCCCGTGCGCTGGGGGCCTTCGAAAGTCCCACCCACGAGGCACCGACGAGGGCCGGAGGCCCAACCTGCGAGCCGAGCCTCGGCCGACCCGCGGATGCGGAGGGGGGGAGGGGGCAGAAAGAGAGAGAGAGAGAGAGGCGGATGACGAGAAGAGGAGGAGGTTGATTTTCCCTGCCTGCCACCAGTCCCTTGGTCAGAGGACCAGGTACTGATGTGCGAGCCTCCCACCAGAGGGTGGTATGCTCCACATGTGACGTCTATGGATGCGCATGCGCGCGGGTCGACCACGCGGTTGGCCTTGTGATAGCTCGCTCGACTTCTTGATTTGGGGTAGCGGTAGTAAAAAAAAAGGAGGAGGAGGAGGAGGAGGAGGAGGAGGAGGAGGAGGAGGAGGAGGAGAAGGACAGAACAGGACATGCGCAGGTCCTCGGCCTGGCGGACGACGGATCGGCTCGGGAGGCAGCGGCGCAAGGCAGGATGAGAGGGGGAGAGGGGGGAAGGGTGGGCTGTGGCGGGGGAGGAGGAGGAGACGGAGGAGGGGAGGTTGGGAGGGAGGTGGTATACGACGATGATGAAGATGAAACTGAACCTGGACATGAAGTTGCTGATGATGAATACTGATGATGATTACGTATGCTGATGATGACGATGGTGCTGATGACGATGATTTGGATGATGATGATGATGGCGACGTTGTCGATGCGGGTGTGGTGGTCATTGTGATGGTGATGACGATCATGATGATGATGATGCTGACGATGATGATGATGATGATGATGATGATGATGATGATGATGATGATGATGATGATGATGATGATGATGATGATGATGATGATGATGATGATGAGTGTGAACATTTTGCAGGCGTTTCTGATGATGGTTATGATGATGCCTTTGCTGATGCTGATGGTGGGGGGGATGATGAGTCTGCTGAGGATGCTGACGCTGATTATGATGGTGATAACGATTCTTATGCTGATAACGCTGAGGCTGCGGATGGCGATGGCGAGGGTGATGCTGCTGCTGTTGCTGATTATGGTGACGCGGATGCTGCTGCGAATGATGATGCAGATGCTGGTGGCGCGAATGATGATGCTGCTGGTGCTGAGGCTGACGATGCTGACGGTGGTGCTGCTGTTGATGACGATGATGATGGCGGTGGTGGTGACGCTGATGATGCTGATGCTGTTTAGCATGCTGATCATGTTGATGAATATGCTGATAAGGATGGGGAGGAGGGGACAGGAGGAGGAGGAGGAGGAGTCTCAGATGCAGCTGATGATTGTGATGCTCATGCTGTCGCTGCAGCTGATGGTGATGCTGATCAGGATGGGGAAGAATAGAAGATGGGGGGTCATGAGGAAGAGGAGGGAGAGGAGGATGAATAAGAGGGCGATATGGACGAAGACAATGATAATGATGAGAAAGAGGCTGCGATGAAGCAGGAGGGGGAGGAGGAGGAGGAGGACCGGGAGAGCTGATGGTGGTGGAGGTGGTGATGATGGCGTGCAGGAGGAGGAGGAGGCGAGGAACCGACGGCTCCTGGAGGAGGAGGAGGAGGAGGAGGAGGAAGAGGAGGAGGAGGAGGATACGGTGGAGGTTGAGGAGGAGGCGGGGGATCGAAGGTTCCTGAAGAAGTGGGTCGAGGAGGCGGAGGAGTAGGAGGAGGAGGAGGAGGAGGAGGAGGAGGATCAGGAACAGGGGGAGGAGGAGGAGTTTGGGCGGCGCGCATGAAACCGAATGAGCCTACAACAGGTGGAACTGAAGGTCGAGCCCCTTGTGCGGCGGCTGGGCGGGCTGAGCTCCCCCCTGGACGCGCAGGCTCCGAGCACGCACGAGTGGAGCTGGAGGTGAGGGGAAGGATGAGTGAGGAGGAAGAGAATGAGTGAGCAGGAGGAGGAGGAGGAGGAACGATGAGGATGATCGATGGGGAGGATCGATTCGGAGGAGGATCGAGGAGGAGGAGTATGAGGATCAATCGTGGTGATGAGGAGGAGGTGGTGGAAAAGGAGGAGCAGGAGGAGGAGGAGGAGGAGGAGGAGGAGGAGGAGGAGGAGCTGCGATGAAGATGATCGATGCAGGGGGAGGAGGAGTGGAGAAGGAGGAGGAGGGTCCGAGGAGGAGAAGGAGAAGGAGGAGGAGGAGGATCGAGGAGGAGGATCGCGGAGCACGATCGCGGAGGATTGAGGAGGATGATGGTTAGGAGAAGAGGATCGAACAGGAACAGTAGTAGGGGGAGGCTGATCGAGGAGGGGGGAGCCGATCGTGGCGTGTCACATCACGTTCTTCCAGCCTCGCACAAGGCCCCCTTCGGGCCCATTGACGTGACCTGGCGATTCCATTAGGGTTTCACGCTGGGTGCAGCAGCCAGGGCAAAGGCGACCTGCTTTGTTTTCACCCAGGAGGGGATGGAGAATTCGGAGGAAGGAAGGAGACCCTACACCCCCTTGCGTCGTGAATGAGCATCAACAGTTCCCCCCCTTTCCCCCCGATTATGTTTCCTCCCGTAGCCCTTACCAGGCCCAAGAGGAACGTCCCACAACGAAGCACCATTCTGTAGATATCAACACCCCTGGGGGTCCACGTTCTGAACAATTGTCGCTGCGGGAGGGTCGGGGGGAGAGACGGAGGAGGAGGAAGGGGAGGACGGGGAAGGGGCGGGATCGATTATGATGAGGCGGGTACCGTCGGGCCTGAGACATTGCGGAGTCGCGGTGGACATCCGATCGGGATTGCGGATGAAGCAAATGTGTGTGTGTGTGTGTGTGCGTGGTGTGTCCGCCATCTCCTTGTCTTTTTTTTTGCTCTCTCTCTCTCTCTCCCTTTCTCTCTCTCCCTCTTGCCCTCTCTGGTCCAACCTCTCACCGTTTTCGCCTTCAGCTGGTCTAGACATTCCAGACAATGTTGCCAGGTACCTCGAGGATGCTGCACAACTCGCCGCCGAGTAAAGATGTTGGTGCATGTGCTTGAGCGCTCCCGCATGTACGATTGCAGTCTGTATTCCCACGGGCCCATCCCAACACCGTGCCCAGGCGAGTTGCGTTGAGCAGGCGAGTATCGGAGCAATCAGTGGAACAAAGAGGGGGGCAGCCGCCGAGCTCATGTCGGGATCGGCCAGAGCAGACCCAGGAGTCAACCAAATTGCTGTTCCAGACCTTGTGCAAAAAGGGAGCCTCCTGTGGTAGCTCTCTCCCGCCATCCTGTGACTTCTTGCGGCCATTCCTGGAATCTGGGTGCCTTTGAGGGTCTCCTGGGCCTTGCTGGGGGTTTCTTGCCATCCTGTGACTTCTTGAAGCTATTCTGGATTCTGGGTGCCTTTGAGGGTCTCCTGGGCCTCGCTGGGGATTTCTTGGGGTCCTCTTCGTCCCCGTCCTCCTTTTCCCCGCCCTCCTTCCTCCTCTGTAGGTACGAGCGCTGTCTGGATCACTTCAGACATACAACTTTTCCTTCTGACCGCTTGACAGGTTCACCACCTCCAAGAGGTATCCCGTGGCATCCTCATTTTTCCGTTGCGGAATGTTCGCCGCCGGGAAGGTTGTTTGAGCTCTCCGTGAGGGAGAAAAACAAGCATCCCCGTCCGGCGGTCCGCGCCCGCTAGGCGCGCGGACCAGTGCTGCTGCCAGCAGCCCTCTGCGGTCGGGGCGGAGAGCTGGACCGTTCACGCTGACCTCGTCCCCCGTTTGCCCGTCATCCTCCGCGTCCTCCTGCCCCCCCCCCTCTCTCCTGTGTCTGCTCGTCCAGATCCACCGCCTCCTCCCTCCTCCGCCCATCCCACTCCGCGTGCCTCATTTTCCCCCTTCCTCCGTCGTGTTCGGCCCATTTTTTGCCGCCGCGGTCACTGGCGCAGAGGAGACACAACTTCGGACGCAAGCGTTCGCCAAGTAGTGGAGTCGTTATCGAGAGGGTGGATACACCGAGGTTTGTCTTGGGGTCGTTTCGGGCCCCCTTGTGGCCATCTAGGAGTCTGACAATGGGGGGGTGTCAAATTCAGGTTTGCCCCTCTGGGGCCCGCAAGCTTGCGTCTTTGGACCCTATGAGCTCTCGTTGGGCCGGATGGGAGACATCTTGGGCCCTGTGTTGGTTTTTTTCGTGCCAGATTGGAGTCGCGTTGATATTTCGCAATGTCATTCGAATGGAACGCGCGAGAAGGCGCCATTCATTGGATTCCTCGAGTTGCTGGACAAGCATGGGCCTCTCGGGGGCATCCTTGGGGGGCTCCGTGGACATTCCCGGGGTCGTCTTTGTGAAATGTGGGGGGGGCTCCTAGGGGGCGCGTTGTCTTATAGACCGACCGATCTCTCGCTATCTTGTGCGATTGTTGAGACAGTCGTCCGCCTGTCTGGAGCTGTCCCGGAGCCTTCTCGGGCCATCCTGGACTCGCGAGGTGGTCCCCGCCCCCTGTCCGGACCCAGGGGAGCTTCCCTGAGTTGGGGTGGGCGGGGCCCTTCCTGTCGCCGGAAGGGCACGCCCCCGTGTGAGCCAAGCGTGCCCGCGTTCCAGGACTGTTCCCGTAGGTCCCCAAGAGGGTCCGAGAGGCCTCCACGCCGGTTCAAGATCGCTGCAACATAGTGGAGACCCATGCCAACAAGCACCCTCCTTATCTCTTGTGTTAAATGTGGGTCTTTGGGTATCAAGGCTTGGTTTCTTGAGGAAGGCTTCTGGCGGTCGGGCTCCACATGTACGCCGGAGAGGGCTCCAAGGGGGCCCCGCTGGGAGGCCAGCGAGGCAAACATCGTTTTATATTTTGTTGCGCAAGCGTGCATGCTCAGCACGTTCGCCTCCTTGTTTTGCCTCGCGCCTGGGAGGCCCAAGAGGGGTTCGGGAGGGGGCCTGGGGGGAACCCCTGGGGCACCGAAGACGCCCTTAAGACGGGCCTCGAAAAAATCCTATCTCATTCCATGGTGCGAAAAGACATGGAAAACTTGGGCAACCTTCGTCCGCATACGAGCTGTTGAATCTTGCAGACGGCCGTCAAGACGGGCCCTGGAGGGCCTCCAGATGTCTCCTTCAGAAAGGGCTCAGGAGAGGCCCGAAAGAACCCAGGACTGTCCCCAAGGCTCCCAGGACGGACGCCGCACGCCCACAAGGACGGGCCCAACAGGGCCCCATCAAGGCTTCATGCCTTTCCGGATTTCGAAGCAGCTGGCGAGGCCCCCGAGATTCCCAAGACGCCCCGTAGGACGCGCCGAAAGGGGCCCCAAGTCGTCCCCAGTCCCCTCCATACTGCCGTAGTGGTCTGGCGCGCTGGTCTGCCGATATGCTCTGGTCTGTCGTGCTGGTCTGCCGTGTGCTGTCTGCTCTATTGGTTTGCTGTGTTGGTCTGCCGTGGTGCGGGTCTGCAGTGCAGGTTTGCCGCGGTGGCCTCCCGTGCTGGCCTCGTTCCTTTACCTCTCTCCCCGTCTCGCTGTGTCTCGGCCTTGTGCCCCGTTTATCCGAGTATCGTGGATTGCGCGAGGGGGGGGGTCCTGCGCCGTGGGGCAGGGGGGAGGGGCGCACCCGTCCGAGGAGACAAAGTGGGTCGATAAGAGGAAACGTCCTGAGTTCCCCAGTGGCGCTGCGCAGGGTCGCTAATTGCCTTTCCGCGCGCGCCAGTTTCAGCGGGTGTACAGCAGTCCCAGGCTTGGTTTTGGGTGTGCAATAAACTGGATGTCAGCAGGCAGTCGAACGCGCGCTTTTCCTTGCGTCTCCACGTGGAAGTCGGGGACCCCTGCAGCGGTATTGACCGCGGCTGTTTTTGCTCAGGGTGCTTATTTGGGAAATCGCGACGTCCCATTATCATGGCAGTGCGGGGGCTCCTCGGGCGAGGCTCTGGTCGAGAGCGGCGCGGAGTGGGGGGCCGTGTATGTCGTCTACCAGTCAGCGCGGCTGACGCGGGACGTCGCGAGCTTAAAGCGACAGCGACGGGCGCGGGGTGCTCTCGGATCGCCTCTCAAGGACATCGAGGCGCAGGGGCAGTCGGTCGAGGAGGCCAATCGGTGATATGCCAGATGCGAGGTCGCGACGGCGATGGATCAGCGCATGGCGCGCGTTGAGCAGGCGCTCCAGGGTGCGACGCAGCGGTCGGAAGCGGCGCGGGCCGCCGCCGAGGGAGCAGAGGAGACGGCCGCGGAAGTGGCGATGGGCACAGGGCTGAGGTGGCCGCCGTGGTGGCGGCGCAGTGCACGCAGGCAGCTACATCGGCGTGGGCGCGCGCGCTTGGCCGGCTGGACACATTCGAGGGTTTGGAAGTGGGCTGACTGGAGCGCGGCCGCGAAGGCCTGCGCGGGACTTCGTCGCAGCGCGCAGGCGGGTCCGACCCCCGCAGCAGAGGGCCAAGAGGAGGGCGCGGCGAACAATCAGCTCGGCGCAGAGGCGGTCGAGGCGAGCACGTCGCTTTATTGCGCGCCAGTGCGGACGAGGAACCAGCCGCTCAACAGCGTCGTGAACGTTGGATTTGGTGGTGGGCCGCCGGCGTGGAGATCCCGACTGCCGAGTCGCGGGGCGAGGGGTCTCGGGCACTTCTTTGGGTCGCGCCGCCGGAGGGGGCAATCGCCGCGGTGGGGGTCGACAGCGGGCATCTCGCGGGGCGCGGCGAGTCGGGGGTCGGTGCTGCCCCGCTCCTGCGCGGAAGCGATGCGAGGCGCAAGTGGCGCCGCTGCAAGGCGTTGCCGCCGGGGGGCCGAGGGCGTCTACGGCGCGGAGCTTTCGAGCGCGATGATTTCGAGGGCAGGCTTCCAGGTTGCGCCCGGGAACGATGGAGAGAGCTCGATCGCGGCGCTGAAGCGCCAGGTGGGCAGGCTGCTGGCGAGCAGGCCCGAGGCGGAGGTGGGCGCGTGGAACTCAGGCGTTGATGATTCGCACTCGAATGGGATGGCGGAGCGCGCAATCCTGGAGGCGAAGGCGAACGCGAGGTCGCTTGCGCAGGGGGTGGAAGAGTTGATTCGCTGCGAAGGAAGTTGCTCAACGACCCCCCGCTGGTCGCGCGGATCGCGCGGCGGGCGGCGATGGCCATCGACGTGGGTCGTCGCGGCGTGGGTGGCAAGGCGCCTCAGGAGAGGCGTCGCGGGATGCCCTCCAAGATGGCGTTCGGCGAGTTCGGCGAGAATGCGTCGCCCCTGCATGTCGGCGCGAGGGCGAGCAGGCTGGGGGCGAGGTTCAGGCCCGGCGTCTACTCGGGGATCGCCGAGGACAACAGCGACGCGCTCGTCGGGGTCCCAACTGGCGAGGCGCGCGGGGCGCGGACGTTCCAGCGCCTGTCCGAAGTGGGGCGGGTTGATCCAGATCTCCTGCGAGGAGCTCGAGGGTTGCTTTGGGATTGACTCGGAGATGGGGCGGAAGCTGGGCTCGGAGTTCGATTCGCCGCTGAGCCAGCGGCGCCACCTGAAGGAGCAACCTGCAGCGCCTGGGGCGCTGGGCGCGGCGCCGTTGCGCGCGTGCATCAAGAGGGGCGACGTGGACAAGTCAGAGCTCCACGCACGTTCAACCCCAGCTGCGAGTGCAACCTGGGGTGCGGGTTTTTCCTTGCCACGAGACCATCGCCCTGGTTTGCATTCATTTCGGTATTCGGCAACCTTCATGTGTGGTTGCACATATTTCGTTTGTTTTTTCGACGCAGGAAGGAACCTTCGCCCTTGGTTGCGCGAATAATTTTTCATTGGGGTCCCGGGATTGCACATCTAGGTTTCCCCTGGGACCTTCACCCCAGGTTGCGCGCGCGCATCTGGGGTTGCGCGTTTTTCGCCCCCCGAAAAGTATTGCGACAACCGTGGCTGCGCGGGGTGCGACGCCGCGCGCCTGAAGCTCTGGGCGCGGGCGCGCGCCGAGACCTGCAGGGCTTGAGTCGAGGGGGCCATGCAAGGCGATGCCAGGGCGGAGAGGGCTCGCGAGGGCGGGGGCCCATCGGGCCGCGCGCGAGCCCTTTCGTCCAGAGCGAGGTGCAAGCGCGGCGGCGGCTGCGCCAGCTGCCGAGGAAAGCCGGGGGCCAGATGGGGGCCGAGGGCCCCGAGTCCCGAGTCGGGGGCGGCGCCCCCCGAGCCGCTGGCCGCGGCCGACCCGCCAGCGGCGGGCGCGCCACGTCCGCCGCAGTCTTCGGCGGGGCCCCCGCCTCTGGCGAGGGGGCGCCGCGCTGGTCAAGGCGGTTTGCAGGCGGTGCAATGCGATTGGGCTGAACGCGGAGGTGTGTCTCAGCGCGTGGGGGCTCCCGCGCAGGAGGTGGGCAGTCTTTTCGGCGCGGTGGGCCGCGCGGGGCTACCTCGCCCAGGTGGCGACGGTCTGTGGGCTAGCCCCTGGCGGTGGTTACCGCGCGCTGCGCGGCTGGGGCTGTCGTGTCGGACTTGGGCGCGCAGAAGGCGCGCGAAGCTGAGGTCGACGACGCGGGCCCCATGCTTGCAATCGGTTCGCCAGGGGCGATCCGGCACCGCAAGGTCAGCGCCAAACTTTACAAGTGGCAGATGTCGAAGGGCCAGCTGTCCATGCGCGAACACCATTGGGTTGCTGTGTCCTCGAGCTGTTTAGCATGGGGGCGCGGAGCGCAGGCGTTGTGGCCAGCGCCAGTGTGGCCAGCCAGTTCGGGGAGCTCGGGGCGAGACGGCCTTGGTGATGGCGCCAGCAGGGTGGCGCAGCAACTCGCCTGACATTCTTGGCGAGATCGCGGTGGGCTGCCCCGACCGCCGCGCGCCGCGCGCGCTCGCCCACTCGGGCGCGCTGGGCGGGAGGTACTCATCATGCCGCGTGGTGCCCAGTGAGTTTGGTTCGCACTATCCTCCGTGGGCATCGTCGTGATCTTTGGCGGGGTTGACGCCGTCGACTGCCAGGTGCCGGAGGTCGTCGAAAGCCGATGGGCGGAATCGCCGCAGTCGGAGTTCTTCGACGACGCATCTTGCTTCTTGCCGCGCCGGGTCTTGGTGGGGCACGCGAGGGAGTTGGAGATGCAGTGGTCGGTGATGGACCTGGACATCTGGGAGCTGGTCGACAAGGGCATCGCAGTGGATCGCATGGGCGGCAAGCCGCCCGCCCCAGTGCGATGGGTGGGCGCGATCAAAGGGGTCAGACGAGGCCAGGGAGTGCAGGGCGCGCCTGGAGCTCTGGGCGCGGGCGCGCGCCGAGACCTGCGGGGCTCGGGTCGAGGGGGCCATGCAAGGCGATGCCGGGGCGGGGGGGGGGTCGCGAGGGCGGGGGTCCATCGGGCCGCGCGCGGGCCCTTTCGTCCAGAGCGGGATGCAAGCGCGGCGGCGGCTGCGCCAGCTGCCGAGGAAAGCCGGGGGCCAGATGGGGGCCGAGGGCCCCGAGTCGGGGGCGGCGGCCCCCGGGCCGCTGGCCGCGGCCGACCCGCCAGCGGCGGGCGCGCCACGTCCGCCGCAATCTTCGGCGGGGCCCCCGCCTCTGGCGAGGGGGCGACGCGCTCGTCAAGGCGGTTTGCAGGCAGTGCAATGCGATTGGGCTGAACGCGGAGGTGTGTCTCAGCGCGTGGGGGCCCCCGCGCAGGAGGTGGGTTTCGTCTCGGCGCGGTGGGCCATGCGGAGGTCGACATCGCGGGCTACCTCGCCCAGGTGGCGAAGGTCTCTGGGCTAGCCCTTTGGTGGTGGTTACCGCGCGCTGTGCGGCTGGGGCCTGTCGGACCTGGGCGCGCAAGAGGGGTGCGAAGCTGAGGTCGACGACGCGGGTCCCATGCTTGCAATCGGTTCGCCAGAAGCGATCCGGCACCTAAGCGTCTGCGCCAAACTTTACAAGTAGCAGATGTCGAAGGGCCAGCTGTCCTTGCGCGAACACCATTGGGTTGCTGTGTCCTTGAGCTGTGAAGCATGGGGGCGCGGAGCGCAGGCGTTGTGGCCAGCGCCAATGTGGCCAGCCAGTTCGGGGAGCTCGGGGCGAGACGGCCTTGGTGATGGCGCCGGCAGGGTGGTGCAGCAACTCGCCTGACATTCTTGGCGAGATCCCGCTGGGCTCCCCCGACCGCCGCGCGCCGCGCGCGCTCGCCCACTCGGGCGCGCTGGGCGGGAGGTGCTCATCATGCCGCGTGGTGCCCAGTGAGCTTGGTTCGCACTATCCTCCGTGGGCATCGTCGTGATCCTTGGCGGGGTCGACGCCGTCGACTGCTAGGTGCCGGAGGTCGTCGAAAGCCGATGGGCGAAATCGCCGCAGTCGGAGTTCTTCGACGACGCATCTTGCTTCTCGCCGCGCTGGGTCTTGGTGGGGCACGCGAGGGAGTTGGAGATGCAGTGGTCGGTGATGGACCTGGACATCTGGGAGCTGGTCGACAGGGGCATCGCAGTGGATCGCATGGGCGGCAAGCCGCCCGCCCCAGTGCGATGGGTGGGCGCGATCAAAGGGGTCAGGCGAGGCCAGGGAGTGCAGGTCTCGCCAGGTCTTGATGGAGACGAAGAGGGGGAGTGCTCTCGACGGTCGAGATAAGGGCGCAGTCTACAGTGCCGCGCCGCCCATGAAGGCGATCCGGGCGCTGGCTTCAATCGCGATGGCGTCGGGGGCCATGATTGCGGGGCAGGCGACTAGGACGTCGCGCCTATTTTCCCGGGCCCCTGCCGGGCGCGCTCGCGCATTGACGTGAAGAGGGGGCTCTGCGCGGAGATCCCTGCTGAACATCCAGAGTGCGCTGCGGGCGTGGGTGGGCGGCTGAAGCGGCGCCGTCGTGGAGTTCGCGATGCCGGCCAGAAATTCGAGCTGGAGGTGCTGGGCGTGGGCGGGGGGGCCAGAGCTAAGCGTGGATTTGGTCATCCCCGCGTTGTCTTGCTGGTGGGCCGCGCGGCGCACTTTCTACGTCGCGGCGGCGACTTGATTTTGGAAGGCCCGAGGCACGAGTGCAGGTGGATGAAGGGTCAGGTCAGAGACCGCGGCGCGATGGGGCCGAGGCACTCCGGCGAAAAGTCGATAGCCACCCTGAATCAGGCGACGCGCTGGGCTCGCGCTTGGGGGGGGGGGGGGGGGCAGTCCGGCGCGCGTCGCGTGCGAGGCGAGCCCGAGACATCGTGGAGTTATGCCGCTGCAGCTTGGCCCCAACGAGCAGACCCCTCACGTCGCCGCCCTGGCGGAGAAGGCCCTGGTCGACCCCGAGACCGAGCTGGCGCTGAATGAGTCTGAGTCGGGCGTCCTCTGGAGCGCGGCGATGAGGTTGGGCCTCCCGGCCCTAGATGGGCCGCGCATCCAGTGCGGGGCAAAAGGGCGGCTCGCGGCATGGCGATGTCAACAATTCGTCGCCGGGGGATTCTGAAGAGATGCGTGCGCGATTTGATTCATGCGCCTACCTTGACACGGGTCTGGAGTCGCAAGCTGTTTCCGATCGTTGCCTCGAGTGTCGCGGGCTGGGCAGGATGCCCATCGACGCGGAGATCTACGATTGGCCATGTTCGGCGAGACTTTTCGGCGCGGCAGCGCCAGCGCGCATGCGCCAGACAGCCTGGGCAACCTGGGCTGCGGGGACCTACGGCGTGGCGATGGCGTGTAGGCGGGCGATGGGCACTAAGTTTCTGGCCGCCGACTTGGGGTTCGAGTTGCTCGGGGAGCTTCGGCTGGAGGTCAGGGCCGATTCGCGTGCTGCTATCGGGGTCCGCCAACGACGTGGCATAGGCAATATAGGACATCTAGAGGCAGGGTGCTTGTGGATTCGGTCGGCGATTTCTCCCAGGGAGATCGGCGAGCTAGGGAAGGCCCGTGGGAATCACAACCACCTTGGTGTGCTGTGTCTGGGTGTAGGCAATACCACGACTGAGCGACATGAAGGCCATGCCCCTGGAGGTCAGGACGACTCGTGCTTCGGTGATTATAACCTCATGCCCGTGAGAATAAACACTAGGGGATAATAAGTTCGGGGTTCAGGGAGAGATAATAAAAGTAGCCCAGCAGACCTCAGCATAATCTCGAAGTAAGAGATGATCAAGAGGAGACCAAGCCGAGCACGTTTTGAGACATCCTTGGCGTTTAGTTTTCATAGAAATATCCTCCACAATGGCTTATCTCTCATGAAAATTGTTTTTTTGTAAGTGCTCGTGTAGGGTAGCTCATGTGCCTCAATTTCCATGGCTAATCAACCCCAGAAATAAAAAAGTTCAGGCGAGCGTGGGGACAGAGAGAAATACACAATAATAAGAATACAGCAGAAGAATACCAAGAAAGAAGAAGAAGAGGATAATAAGAAGAGGACGAAGAAAGGAAAAATCCAAAGTTCCAAATCTATCAATTGTAATGTACAAGCGCTTTATGAAAATTGATGTTTTAAGTGCTCGCGTAGGGTAGCTCATGTGCTTCATTCTCCATGGGTGATCAACCCCAGGGATAAAACAGTTCAGGCGAGCGTGAGGACATATATAGATATAAAAGAAGAAGAGGAAAATAGACTAATAATAAGAACATTGCTCGTTTCGTTTGAGTCTGCCTCCCAAAAGTATTGGTTTCGCTTGACACATCCTGAAAAAGTGTGATCGCTTCGCTTGATGTTGATATATCAACATCGCTTGATGTTGCTATCTCAACATAGCGTTTCGAGGTGATAATGAAGTTCGGCCTCAGCGCTCGCCGCCCAATTTGAATTTTGTATAGGGCGACGATAATCAACTCTAAACACTGAAGGGGGGGTCCCTTTATTATCATCGGCATGCGGTTATTCGCCGTTGCGGTGGAAAGGAGCTGAGCCACGTGAGCCTGGTGCCAACGGAGTGGCGGAGTTCGGTCTGGTGGTAACGTCGGAGAGCGTCAGTTTTGGCCATGGCGCCTCTCTGGCAGTGACCGCCGCGCCGCATTTGGAGATCATTCGGCGATGTTTGCGCCTGTTCCGAGATGCGAAGTGGATCGCCACGTTCCGTTGCCAGTGCTGTTTTTTTGCCCTTGTAGTTGTTCTGGAACGTAGCTTCGCGAGAGGAGGCCGGTCATGCGGATTGGCTTCGAAGAATTCTGGGTTGGATCGGCGCGCGGCGAGAGCGCCCACCGACCGAAGGGGTCAAGCACAAGTCGGATGCCTGGCAGCGGTATTGACCGCAACTGTTTTAGCTCAAGCTGTTACTACGGAAACGCGACATTTACATTTCGCCATTGACGATTCGTTGGGATGGGAGTTGCCAGTGCATGGCGCCATCTCTATGACTCATGCTCGGCATGGTCGCTCCAGGCAGGTTTCTCTTCCGCGAACTTTCAGCGGCCAGGGCGCTTACAACAGTGTGATCAGAAGCAGTTTTGTTTGACGGCTGTGCCACTGCCGTGCTGTCAGCGTAGGTCGCTCAGACCACTTGTGCGGTCAGCGCGCTCCGATGTTCACAAGTTTCTGGCCCATCTATTGCGTACATTGTTGTGTTCAGACGCGCCCCGCTGAACGTTTTGCCCCCCTTGAGGTTCTCCACATGCTGAAGCGGATGGTGGCCTTGGGGAGCGCAGTTGGAATGAAGGGGGAGAGAGGTGAACGAAAAGCAGGACACCGAGCGAGCGTGTGAGGGGAAATGCGTCATGGTGCGGGTGTTTTTGGGCGAGGGCGACAAGGGGGAAGCGGGTGCATGTGGAAGGTGCGCGCGGGGAGGGAAGCGGAAGGTCTGTGACAGCCCGGGGAGGCATGGAGTTTGCGCGGGAGGGCGCGCGGGAGGTACAGTTGGGGCGCTTAAGAAGAAACCCTTTTCGTTGCGGAAGGGCTCGGTATTCCCCGATTGTTGTACAGCTTGCCTTGGGTGTTCCTTTCGTTTCCCATGGGGAATCAAAAGTTAACTTATGGGAGCAAGGGGCCTCGTTCCTTTTGTAGGGTTCCTGAGGTCAACGCCCCGACCGTATGTTGGCAGCCTGGCCTGTGGGGGGCGAGAGGGGCCAGGGTGCGCGAGGGGGGCGCGTGGGGGGCCACCGTCCGGAAGGACCCGGGGCGGTGCACGGAGGGCTGGGCAGGCACGCGGAGGCAGGGCGGAGGAGGCGGAAGAGGAGGGGGAGGAGGAGGGCAAGGAGGAGGAGGAGGGGGAGGGGGAAGAGGAGGTGGAGGAGGAGGAGGAGGAGGGAGGAGGAGGGAGGGGGAGGAGGTGGAGGAGGAGGAGGAGGAGGAGGAGGAGGAGCAGGGAGGAGGAGGAGGAGGAGCGGAGGAGGAGGAGGGTGAGCAGGAGGAGGGAGGGGGAGGAGGAGGAGGAGGAGGAGGAGGAGGAGGAGGAGGAGAGGAGGAGGAGGAGGAAGGAGGAGGAGGAGGAGGAGGAGGGAGGAGGAGGAGGAGGAGGAGGAGGAGGAGGAGGGGGCGAGGCACGGGAGCGAAAGGGTGGGTTCAGGCGGCGACCGCAAACGTGGATCGACGGGGCGTGGATTTGCGACGGGGCCCGTTCCATGGGAATTCGCGGGCTTCCGCTTCCGAGCGAGGCGGCTCCGGCCGCATTTTTGGGAGGGCACCTCCCCTCCTCCATGGATTTGGCGACCACGCGCCAAATCCATGGATCGCTAGTCCATGTTTGCGCGCCCCCGATGAGTGGGAAGGGGCAGGGTCCAAGGGGATCGGTGCCAGGCTCGGGAGCTGTGGCGGGGAGGCAGCGCACGCAGCAGAGGCGAGGGAGAGTGAGACGGACGGATTGGGAACCAGCTGGGGGAAGGGGGGGAAGGGAACGCGGTTATGGTTGCTTCTCTAATTCTGTGGACACGTGCGATATAGCATCCGCAAGCCTCAGCCTTCATCGATCCGCCTACGCCTTGTAGTAACAGTTCGTGTGTTTGCTTTCTCTCATGCGTAAGCGCTACCGCGATCATATTTTCTACGCGTTCTCCGCCGTTATTTTTGTTGCGTTAACCATGCGTGATGGTTCCCTGGCTAGCGGCAGGTGGACTTGGCCCAGCAGGGTGACTATTTAGCCGCCAATCAAGGATTGCGCTATCTTCTATGGCTTTTGTTTGGCCGCAGCTCGTCTTTCGGCGGTGCGCTCCCAGTCGAGACCAGTCTCGGTACTTAGTTCTGACAGCATCTGGGTTCATGCTTGGCCGTCCTGGCAAGTGCCGCGCATCGTTTTTAGTGGCACCTGGCTGGACGTCACAAAACAAAACTGGTGCCAAAGTCTGGGCTCCATATAGTGGCCCTCTGCAAGCCATTGGGTCATCTAGATCTGTATCTATATATATATATATGTATATATATGTGTATATATTGATGAAATGCCATCTGCTGGGTGCAATATACGGTGCAGTCTCCAGCTGCCACCGTGCAGGCCAGGATTTTGGAGGGCGTGTGTTCAAGGGGCAAGAGAGCTGTCACGAATGACATTTCGTCTCCAGGCTTGGGAGAGCTGCCATGAGGATGACGATGACTATGCGGATGATGATGATGATGATGATGTTGATGATGATGATGATGATGATGATTCTTATTCTGATGCAGCTGCTGATGATGATGAGGAGGGGGATGATGATGATGCTGATGATGCTGATGATGATGACGATGATGACGATGTTGGTTGTTGTGGTGCTCATGATGGTGACGGCGGGGAGGAGAAGGAGCATCAGCAGGAGGACCAGGAGGAGGAGGAGTAACAGAAACGCCGTCAATATGTGACACTCTACGTCTTCTCTGTGTGAGGAGCTCTCATGGAGATCTCATGGCGCCAACATCGCAGAGCGGATTTCGTTGGGAAAATTGGAGGACGGGCCCAGAGTGTCCTGGAGCTTTTCGTTTCGGATTTTGAGGTGAATTTCGTGCGGATTTTTTTGGGCCTGGAATGAAGACCAACAAAAATCCAAGCGACATTCACTTCGTTTTTTACTCGCCGTTTCGGGGGTTCCATGCAAAAATCCGCTGCAGCACGTCTGCAAGGTCGGTGCAGTGAGAGATCGTTCGGATCGTTTTGGGTGAGGCAGTCTTGGAGGTCCGTGGGCTCTCTTGGGCCGTCTTGGGGCCCTGTTGCGCCTTCTAGGGGCTGTCTTGGGCAGTCTTGGGGCCGTCTTGGCCATACAGCGGGTGTTTGAGGGCCACCGGCCTCGTGAGGAAGGGGGATGCACGCAGCGGTCCACGACTAGAGGGTGTGGTCCCACATTAGAAAACACAAACCGTTCCAGACAGCACTTGGCATTGTATCACGCCTCAATGCGCCAGGGTGCACCGTAACCGATCTTGCTAGCACGAAAAAAACGGCATATCTCGTCCGCCCACAACATCTTGGCATTATTGAACTGCCTCATTGACGCAATGACCCTTGTCATGGATGCAATGTTGATGGTGGCGCTATTGCCGAGGGCGACAACGACTAGTCATGATGCTGTTGATGAAGACGGCGGGGATGACCACGATGGTGGTGGTGATGAAGCTGATGGTGATTACGATGACGGTGGCGATGATGCCACCAGCGATGACGACGACGTTGGTGCTGGTGATGACGATGAGGACGTGCGCGCGCCAGAGAGTCTGAGATTCCGCTATCTGTGTTATTGGCGAGCGAGCGGAGTAGGATGCGTGCTTGGGCGCCTCCATGCCGAGAATACTCCCCTGGGGTCGACGCCTCGCAGTCGGCTGGATTGTATGACTGGGGCCCTGAGTCCAGGCGCAGGCTGCGAGGCATCTGCCGCTGGCGTGCCGTGCCGTGCCGTGCGTTCTTGCCTTGCCGTGCCCAGGCTTTGGGAGTGCGGCCCGCGACAATCGTGCCGTGCCTGCGTGCCGTGCCGCGCCGCGCCGTGCCGTGTTCGGTGTCTTGCGGGTTGGGGTCGTTTTGCTAATCGCGTGTCATTGGATGTCGACTCGCCCCGAGTGCTGTGGAGGACGATCGATGGAGAGGAAGCATGTTGCCAACTACTTTCCAGATGTCTAGATGGGGCGACGTGTGGCTCTGGGGGTCCTGTTGGGAGTCTTCCCCGAGCGCTTCTGGGGCGTCTTGGTGGGGGTCTTTTGGGGCGTCTGGAGGCCATCTTGGAAAGGGTTGGAGCTATCTGGGGCGACGTGGAGAACAGGCAAGGTGCCTCGTGGATGCCACCGGAGGCCGTCGGGGAGCACTTTTGGAGCAGGTGAGGCCGACGGCCCGCTTGCCCCCCCCGTCCGAGCTCGATGGGCCAAGCTCTCAGGGGAGGGGTTTGGGCACAGTCAGGGCGTTGACCTAAGGAACCCTAAATAAGGAACGAGGCCACTTTTTCCATGGGTTGAACTTCGATTTCCCGTCGAAAACATAAGGAAAACCTGAGGCAAGCTGCGACACACTCAAGTAACGCGGAGCCCCTCCACAACGACAAGGGTTCCTTCTTCAGGGCCCCGACTGTAGGAGCTGCAGTCTCACATGCGGAGGGGGCCCCAAAGGGATCGGCGGATTTGGCAAAAGTTGCGTGGTGCAAGCTTCGCGGCACGTGGTGTAAACTCTGGGCGTAGGCTGGCACGCGCTCGCGAGGCGGTTACTCAGGAGGGGAAAAAACACACAGACAAAATTTAATCGTCGATTTCCCCGAAAATATAGGAAAAGATGGGAAGTGTGGGGGAAGACAAAAACACAGAACATATAGGAAAATATGTGGATTTTTTTATTTGTGTGTATTTATTCGTGTGTCCTGGTGCCCCTTCGGTTACGAGAGGCCACGGGCTGCAACGTGGCGGAGCCTTGGCACACTGATCCAGCGCACGAAGCTCCCACGAGGCGTCCACGGGCGGACCGTAGCCATTTCGGCTCAAGCCATTTCGACTCTTGTGTGTTTGCACATCTCTCGCCCCCAATTTTGGCACCGCCAGAGGCGCCCCTTGTCCGCAGCAGGCTTCGCGATCATGCCGGAGCTCGTGTCCATCGTGAAGACCCCGAAGGAGGCTTTCATGGGCATGGTGGACAAGGGCGTTGGGATGGGCGGCGATTCGTCCATCAAGATCTTCCACCAGTCGTTCTACGCGGGTTGCTACATCGGCTTCGGTGGCATGCTGTCGATGGTGGTGGCTGGCGGGCTGGACAGCGCGGCACAGGACAACCCGACCATTCAGACCTTTGTATTCGCTGCGCTCTTCCCTGTGAACTTGCTGCTCATCCTCCTGACAGGTGGGGTGCTGATCACAGGCACAGCGGCGACCGTACCTGCCGCGGTGTTTGAGGGCAAGCTGCACAGGATGCAGATCCTGAGGACGTTCGCGCTGGCTTGGGTGGGCAATCTGCTTGGCGCCCTGCTCTTCGCTGGCTTCGTCACAGCCTGTAATCTGAATGTTGGCCTGACTGCCTCGCTTGCCCGCAAGGTTGCGGAGAAGAAGATCAAGGAGAATTTCCTGGTCACCTTCCTCAAGGGAATCGGGTGCAACTGGCTGGTGTGCATGGCGGTGTTCCTGCAGGGCCAGGCGCAGGACATGGTTGGCAAGATGGTGGGCATCTGGTTCCCCATTTCTTGCTTCGTGGCCATCGGCTTTGAGCATATCCCAGCCAACATGTTCATGATCCCCATGGGGATGATGGCCGGCGCAGACGTGTCCGTGCTGGACTGCCTGTGGAGGAATTTCATCCCGGTGACTCTTGGCAACATCTTCGCAGGTTCCATCTTCGTGGGCGGTGGTTACTCTTTCGCCTTCGGCCGGCTGGGTAGCTCGCCGATGTTCAATATGCCCGCGAAGGAGCAGGGCTCGCCTAACGATCAGAAGCCCACCAGCGATGCGCCCGTGATTACACCCGAGGCTCAGGCTGTATGAGTACGCAGCCGGGCTGAGGGGCCTCAGGGTCACACTCTTGCCGCCTTTCAACTACCAAGATGTCATAAGAAATATGTCAGGGTCACCCGCGGCGGCGAACTTGGTAAGACCGTGCGGCGTAATTTTTTCAGTGGATATTCAGATCGTGCAGAGTACAGCTCATGTGCCAGGATAGCTGAGATGCTGAGCCTTTTAAGCAATTCTTCTGTGGCAGCCAGGGCCCTTCGCCTTATTCGTTCTCGGCACAAGTGTCTGCGGGGCAGGGTCAACCAGCTCGTGCATTCCACGTCCGTTTTCAGCGGCAGCCTGGGCCCTGCGCCTTGTTTCTCCCCTGCAGCGATGTCTGCGGGGCAAGGTCGACCAGGTCATGCTGCTCCTCGCGGCAATGGCTCATCCTGGCACCCGAGTGAATTCAGTCGCTGTGCCGGAGCGGTGACTGCATGCTCAAAAACACTGCGCACGTGCCCGCACAAAAAACAACCAGGCGCCCACGGGCGGCAGCGGGCGGCAGCGCGGCGAAACCTCGTCAGGCCCATGCAGGGCGCGGCGCGGCCACGTGGCGCCCGCGGGCGGCAACTGGCGACAGCGCGGCGAAGCCTCGACATACTCATCCAAGACAGTATAGCCGAATCAAGGGCCCCTTTCTGCAAACATCGTTTCGGGCGACAACGTGGCGAAGTCTCGACATCCTCATCCAAGAACATGAAGCCTACAGTGCCGTTTTTGATACATGCTCCGCGTGCGGATCATGTATTGAAAATGCAGGGGTTCAGTACTAAAAACAACGATGCGTTCACGCATACATCGATTCATACATCGATCACGTATTAAAATCCAATGTATTGTTTAGAATCCCACGTATTAAAAACTGCCCTGTGGGCAATATCCACTATCTGCAAGCACTGCCCAGGGGAACAAAGACAATTTTGAGGAGGGCCGCGCGGATTTGCTCGAGTCGGCGCTGAACCCTCCACCCCTCAAGAAGCACGCCAGGGTCGGCGCCAGAGGTGCCGCCAGAGGGGGCCCAAGGCGGCGGGCGGGGGGGGGGCAGCGCCGCCGCTGCGTCTCCCTGCCGCGGCTGCTCTCTGCCGGCGGCGCGGGGCAGCAAGCCGCTCCCGCAGTCTACATGGACGGCACCATCGGCCACACGCAGGAGACGAGAGCGTGGCTTTTGGGGGTCCTGCCTCTGCCGGTGATCGGCAAGAGCCAGGCCAGGCTTTTGTCGGGCGTGTCCCCCTACAGAGGGATCTTCGATGGCAAATGTAGAAAATGCAGCAAAAATGCCTCACTAAGGTAAACACATATTCAACAAATAGTAGTCCCCAGATTATTTTTGGACTATTTTTTGATTATGTTTGGGGTATTTTTTATTTTTCGTCGAAAATCCCTTTGTAGGGGGGACAGGCCCGACTTAAGGCCGGGCAGCCCGGGCGGGCGGTGGCCCGCCGGGACATGGCGGGGCGCGGGCGGCGGCGCGGTGCGCCGCCGCGCGGCGCGTTCGTTGGGTTGGGCCCCCCCGCGATGCCTCCGCCGGCAGGGGTCCACAGGATCGATGACGAATCAACAACACACACACACACCCATACCCACAGATGGGTCGGAGAGGGCTATGGGTGCGTGTTGTCGGATGGAGGTCTCCGCTCGAACGGGAGCGTTCCCCAGGGTCCGACAACCCGCACCCATACCCATAGCCAGTCCTCCTCCCAACGACCCCCCTATGGGTATGGGTGTGTGCTGCTCGTTCGTCAATCGAGGCCTCGGGGCGTCGTGTCCCCCTGAATCAAGAGGAGAATACACACAGACACAATGCATCGTCGATTCCCCAGGAGCACATGGGAAACTAATTACGGGAAGTGGGTGGGAATCGAGAGGGGAATCCACTTTTTGGTCGGCGGGGCGAGAGCGAACCCCTTCCGCTAAAAGCTAGGCGGGCTACGCGCAGCTTTCATTATGGAGACAGGGCGCAGGAAGGCGGGGCCTCAGGCGGCCGGAGCAGGTGGAGCCCGGGGTGCAGGCGGTGCCGAAGATTTTGCACAGGAGAAGGTACGCCGTGGACGGCAAGAGGGGAATACACACACAGACACAATGAATCGTCGATTCCCCAGGAGCACAGGGGAAGCTACGGAAGTGGGTGGGAAGACGGGACTCCCGAGAATGCGGGAATCTATAAGAGGGAATCCTGGGACTTGTGTGTGTGTGAGTTTCTTTGTGTGTCCCTGGGCCTCTTCACTGAAAGCTAGCGGTCCGGAGGGAGCGGACCCAGAGGGTCTTTCGCCGGCTGCTGGCCCCTGGGCCCCCCCCTGGGGCCTTGGGAGCGTCAAGCAGCGACGCAGGATACATTGGCCACGCGCGTATCGGGGGGGCAGGGGGAGGGGGGAAGGCTTCTCAGAAGGAGGCTGCGTTTAATTAGAGTGCGCGGGCCTTGTCTATAGATGTAAGGCCGGCGCCTTCTGAGAAGCAGACTACTTCTAAGAAGCCTTCCTCCCTCCCCTACCTTCTTGCGCGCGCCACCAAATCAAGAGCTTGTTCTGGGGAATCGCCCCGTGGTCCGGGACCCGTGTCCTTCAGGACCTGTTTCTGTTGTGCCACGGAGCTTCTCTGGTTCCGGCCCAGGATTGAATTCTTTTAGCGATTGTCGTGCTCTGTTTCGGTTACGGGGCGCGTTCTCGTCGCCGCGGCCAGGTCCGTTCCGGAACTGCGGTCGGTATGCGCCACAGGTCAGGTCCAGGGGCCGATCTTTGAGATGGGGAGGGATGGAGGGAAGGGGAGGACAGGGAGGAGACATCCGATGTCATGTTCTTTCTTTGCGTGGCAATTGTTGTGCGGAGCTCGCGACAAGGTTTTTGCTGTGATGCTCAAGTAGCCTCGGGCCGTGGATGTGGTCCTTAAGTCGGATGGGAACAACATAACTCGAGTGGTAAATCTATCTCAGGTAACTCCAAGCTGCAGACCAGTGCTCTCGACTCCACATCCAGAGGGGTGGATCGAAGAGGTGTGTCGCTGGGTCCGAAGAAGGAGGAGCATGGTCCCAAGAGGCGTCCCTCCTTCCTTTCCTTCTCCCCCTGCCTGCTTGCCGCGGCAGCCATACAGCCGACAGCGGTTGCCCACCCCGGTAGCCTCGCTTCGGGCCCCAGGGCCGTGAGAGATCGTTCCTTGACGAACGCCTGCCAGGGGGGTGGACCCCGGGAGGGCTTCCGAGAGACATTAAGAGTTCACGTTGGCCCCTCCCCGGGGAGGGGGGAGGCGTGTACCAGAGCCTGTTTTGTGCAAGGTCTCGGCGTGATATCGCTCTGGGAGTGGGAACCTGCACGGAAATCCAGAACGTTGCCTTTGTCGACCCATGCCAAGGACATCTTGGTCGATCGAGTGGATCTAAAAGTCACGCGGGGTCGAGTTGGATCGATGGGGATTGGTTGGCCCGCTGTATCGTGCTGCCGTCGGCAAGTTCCGCCACCGCGGCAGCGCAGTATTCTGTGCGGCGTGCCCTCAGCAACGCCCATAGGGCAGTAACACATGTGACCGCTCGTCTCTTGTACTTGTTGGGCTTTCATGGTGCCTAAGTACCTGTGCCGTCTTGGGGCTGTGTCTGGCTCCTGCGAGGCCGTCTTGGGGCCCCCTCGGAGCCATTCCCCTCTTCTCGGGGCCCTCTTGGGCCGTCTCGGTGCTGCCTCGGGCCGTCTTTGGCTCGTCTTGGCCGTCAGAGGAGTCCCTCGTGGCTGCCTTGAGCAGTTGTTCGGGCCTGGTGGGGCTGTCCTGGACCATCCAGGGGTAGTCTTTGGGCCTTCCTTCGCCGGGCTCCTTACGCTTCTGTTTCACTTCGCCGCGGCCCTCGTGCAACCATTTTGAGCGGAGAGACTGGTAAAACGTTCACAGACGCAAGGACTTGTGGAGTTCTCAAGTGTTTGCTGACATTGCCCTTCAGTGAGGGCATCGTGGCCTTTTATTCGTGCTGTGGATCTCTTTTTGGGCCCCTTTGGCTCTCTTGAGCAGTGTTGGACCACCAGAGGTGGCTGGAGGATTGGCCCGGTACTTTTTCGATCAGTAGTTCTTCCAAGTCCATATATAGTTGGATCAACAGATCCTGAGACAGTGAGAGAATGGTGGTTGGACCGTCGAGTCGATCGTTCGAGGCGAACGTGTTGGATCCTTGCCGTGTTCGGACTTCCGCTTCCCCAAGGCCGTTCGCTCGCTTGCCCGATTAAAGTAAATCTCCAGTGGCATGACGGCTTTCAAAAAGCTATGCCTGCGGGAGGCGGCAAGGCCAACAAGGTTGGCCGGGCGAAGTTCGACGCCCGCAACGCGTTGAGCGACGGCCAGGCGGGGTTTTTGAGCCCCAAATCATATTTTAAGCGAGTGCTTCAATGCCGTAAGATATCCAGCTGGGGAGCCCACGAGAGCAGCCGGAGCTTTACCCCTCGCTTTGCATTCTCCTCTGTGGGCATTTCTCCTCCCCGCGGCCCCCTTGACTTCTCCTGTCCTCCCTTCTTTATTACCCCTGCCTCTTCCCTCCCCTTC